TACTACTGTTGTCACTGACCCTTCCTTTGAGTCCACTGCTGCGTCTGCCCTAGTTGCTGAGCTCGTCGACTTTGCTGCTCGCTGTCGTCTAGACTACGCTGCTAGTCTTGTTGCTGCGTCTGAGTCTGTCTGTCCTCCGTCCGTCGGGGGTGAGTGTGCCCTTGGCACGGACGTCCTTGAGGACAGACAGGAGGAGTTCCAGTGTTTGGCTGCTGCTTCACCTCATCTCGTGTCCGTACTGCTTACCCCTGAGGGAGACCCGGATGCACTTGACATCCCGACTCCGCGCTCTTACGCGGAGGCGATAGAGGGTCCCTACTCCTCTCAGTGGCAGGCAGCTATGGACGCAGAGATGGCTTCCTGGAAGTCCACAGGCACCTACGTTGACGAGGTTCCCCCGCCTGGGGCGAACATCGTCAGTGGCATGTGGATTTTCAGGGTGAAGCGGCCGCCGGGTTCTCCGCCTGTCTTCAAGGCGCGTTACGTGGCTCGTGGCTTCAGTCAGCGGCAGGGAGTTGACTACTTTCAGACCTTCTCTCCCACCCCGAAGATGACCACTCTTCGGGTACTGCTGCACATAGCTGCTCACCGTGACTACGAGCTACACTCTCTTGACTTCAGCACTACTTTCTTGCAGGGCAGCCTGCACGAGGAGATCTGGCTGCGCCGCCCACTTGGCTTCACTGGGACTTTTCCTCCTGGCACCCAGTGGAGCCTCCGGCGGCCAGTCTATGGTCTCCGCCAGGCACCGCGTGAGTGGCACGACACACTGAGGACTACGCTTGCGGCTCTTGGGTTTGCTCCCTCTACTGCCGACCCGTCGCTGTTTCTGCGCACCGACACTTCTTTGCCGCCGTTCTACATCCTCGTGTACGTCGACGACTTGGTCTTTGCCACAGCTGACACTGCTGGACTCGCCCACGTGAAGTCCGAGCTGCAGAAGAGACACACGTGCACAGACCTGGGTGAACTGCGCAGCTACCTTGGCTTGCAGATCACCCGGGACAGAGCATGCCGCACCATTACCCTGACTCAGTCACACATGGTGCAGCAGGTCCTTTAGCGCTTCGGCTTCACGTACTCCTCGCCTCAGGCCACTCCTCTGCCTACTCGCCACTCGCTCTCAGCTCTGCCTTCGGATGAGTCCGTAGAGTCGAGTGGCCCGTACCCAGAGCTTGTTGGCTGCCTCATGTACCTGATGACCTGCACTCGACCTGACCTTGCATACCCTCTTAGCATTCTCGCACGCTATGTTGCTCCTGGGAGACACAGACCGGAGCACATGGCTGCAGCGAAGAGGGTGTTGCGCTACTTGTGCAGTACGTCGGGCATGGGGCTTGTGCTTGGAGGGCAGAGTCCAGTGGTCCTCACTGGGCACACAGACGCTTCTTGGGCTGACGACCAGGCTACGCAGCGGTCGTCACAGGGTTACACCTTCAGCCTTGGTTCCGGCTCTGTCTCGTGGCGGGCTACCCGCTCGTCTTCTGTTCTCGGCTCCAGTTGTGAGGCTGAGATCTACGCAGGGGCCATGGCTGCACAGGAGCTTCGCTGGCTCACCTACCTGCTGACTAACCTCGGAGAGCCGCCTCGTTCTCCTCCAGTGCTGTACGTAGACAACAAGGCCATGCTGGCCTTGTGTCGGGAGCAGAGACTGGAGCACAGAACGAAGCACATTGCTCTTCGCTACTTCCTTGCTCGTGAGCTACAGCAGCGTGGTCAGCTACGCCTTGCGTACGTGGCCTCTCAGGCCAACACTGCTGATATCTTCACCAAGGCACTTGCGCCTTGTGATCATCAGCGCTTCTGTACTCAGCTGGGTCTTGTGCCTACCTTGCCTCACTTGCTCACCCCTTGACCTTGTTTGTACTGTTACATATATATATACACCTGCTCTTGCTTGTTTAGCCTTATATATATATGTAATCCTGCATGTGAACTGGCCTTGTGGCCTTGAACTTGTGCTCGGAATGTGTGGTGACGTTGTGATCCACCCTGAGCTTGCTTTGCTTTGCTTGACTGGTCTTGTGACCCCTTGTCCTCCCCCACTTTGCCTATGGGGGTGTGTCAGATTTATATGACTTAGCTGCTGTAGGCTATAGTGGGGTAGCACATATGGGGTACAGCTTTCTAGGGTTTGTACTTGTACCCAACTTTCCCTTAGTCTTTTCATTCCTCGTTCATTTTCACAGTTTCTTGTTGCTGAATATCCCAACCAACCATAGCTGGAAAGACCAACGCGTACTGGAAACCACATAACCTAACTGCTTTAAACGAACTGTCGACGGTACAGTGAGGTTCTACAAACCGTTCCCAAAATTTCACCCGATGCCACTCTAGCGGAACATAATGTGTATTTTGAGGAAATACTGTGGTTTGTCGCCTCTCGTCGTAAAGGGTTGGGTTTTTCCACTGGCGCCGTTTTCTTGGATCTGTCTGCAGTGAGTGCGACCACGTCGAACACGCGATGTGCTGCTCGGTTCGGTGCTGCTGAGCCGAGTCCAGGGGAGCCAAGCCAACACATGAGATCACGCACGTGATCGAACCGATGGGGCTGTGCATCGCAGTCAGCATCCCACCAACCACATACATGAGGTCAGCCAGAAGTTCCCATCTGTGAGCAATTTGTACGTGTACACTTGCTTTGCTTGACGTGATGACGCTACAGTGCTCGCGTTTGAATACTCTTGTGCCCAGAGCAGTCTCTTGTTTCAGTTTTTTTGGGGGGGCAGACGCGAGGAGCGAAAATGATTTTTGATTGGATCCGAGGAACCTTATTAAGATCAGCGGGCCAATGCTACCACCAATCATTCAGAGTGTTCACCGCCGGCTCTTTTTTTTTCCGGACACAATGTGTACTCCGAACACTTTCTGGATCCGTATATTTTCCCAACCAGGACTATTCCCACTCTCACTCGCTCCCCTTTGTTAGCCTGTAAAGCTTGTCAATTTGTCAGTTTGACGGGGCAGCCCCTAGTCGTATTTCGTTACTCAGACTGCTCCGGGAACACAGGGTGTCATGTTCGAAATGCATAAACGTCTTCCACCAGCTACGAAGGAAAGGAAAGGACCCACACGAAAATTGTGCGTCCCTGACGTAGGCTACGGTTCATCAAGGCCAGGCAGCACGTGTGCGGTGGTTGGCTGAGAAGTGTCACGGCTGAAGTTTGGGTTTCCTCAAGCTCGATCGGAAGGAACACCGTAACAACGTAGGCCAAAAGGATGGCGATTTATGTTCCACTGCACTAAGTGCTTCCTCTACAACCCAGCCCGTTTCGAAAATCGACTTTTATTTAGGATAAAATCTGACACTGTAATTGATGTCAGCGTTTACCGCTACACCGCCCCGTAATTAACTCCTTCAATTTCAGTAGTCAACAAGAACACAGTGTGTTTAGATAAGTGTTTCATATAGAGTCTGTTTTCTAGGCTATCAAAGAAGACAACAAAGTGCACTCTATCCTGAGGTGTAGAAAAGGAAGACACGGTGGAGCCCAAACCAGCTTCGGTGGTGGGTGAACTTGAACACAGCTGCGAAGTGTGGTTGGTATTGATTAGCGGGCCCCATCGCAAGTGGAGGATTTTGGATGCTCTCTGCAAAGCCACGCATGAACTGTATACTGTACCTACACGAAAAAAGAAACAACATACCTTGCCGTGTTTTCAGAAAGGAGTTATATTTCAACATACATTCACGTAGATTAAAGCCCAAGACCTGAATTACAAAAAAAGGAAGGCAAACTGTGCACAGTTTGCCTACCGAACCCACAGTTGACCTCCTGAGCCAGGCTGGTTACCAGAAAACGTCGCGCTAAAAAACAGAGTCGTAGAGCAGAAAGGGTTTGGTTGGCGAGAGTCCCAACCACACCGTCCTGAAGGAACAAGAGCTCAAAATGTGCACAGTTTGGGCTTCTTTGGTAATTCAGGTCGTGCTATTACCGTAGTATGCGAAACGATTATACCATGCAGAGAGCATAGAATAAATAGCCACTAAAGCATAGGCCATGAGCACTTTCACCTTTCTTCCTAGCGAACGGACGGCCCATTTAGAACTCCAAGCTTATCTATACGGCCAATCTAGAGATCCCGACTTCATTTGAGGTCGTAGCTTATCGGCATGTGAGCATCGCGAGGGCGTATCGCCTTATCGCCGTTGATAAACACCGCGGTTGCGCTACACACCGATCCGCCCCTATCTCATGCCTAGCCTTCCACGTCGTGGATCCCATGCCGCCGCCGTCTCTTCATCCGCAGTCTTTTCTCCACCTCCCATCGTCTTACCGCCTCATCCCTTCCTTCCTACCCTCATCCCAAGCTTAGCCGAGCACAAATCGCATATTATTCCACGACGCGGTTCAAACTCAATTCCCCTCACATCGTCCTCCCCGTTGACGTACCGTCGCCCTCGCTTCCCCCGTTTCCCCGTCGCCCTTACTCCTAAAAATAACCGCTTCGCCACACCGTCGCTCACGCCGGTGCCCCAACTGCCCTCACGGACACCGTCGCGCACGCCTTCCCCCACCTTCCCTCACGCTTCCCCGCTCATCGCCCCCGCTTCCTCCCATCGTCGGCCAAGCTTCCCCCCATCGTCGCCCACGCTTCCCCCCATCTTCGCCCACGCAGCCCGAACCGTCGCCCACGCTTTCCCCCACCGTTGCCCACGCTTTCCCCCACCATCGCCCACCCTTCCCCCCACCTTCGCCCACCCCCACCGTCGCCCGCGCTTGCCCTCCCATCGCCCTCGCTTAGCCTTGCCGCCGACCTCCCTTCCCTCCCACCTCTCTCCGCGTCGTCATCACTCCCTTGTCTATCACGTTCCCCCTCTTCACCATCGCTTCCCCTGTGTCCCTTCCCCATTGCCTTGTTTGGTCGCTCTCGCTCTCCCCATTGCCACCCTCTCTACTCCTACCATCGTCCATGGTTACCACCCCACCCTTGCACCCTTATTTCCTTCTCTTTCATTCTCCCTCCCCCTCAGCCTCTCACCCACCCTGGACGGGGAGGTATGGCGGGCTGGGCTGGGAGCTAGGGATGGGTTCGTGACTCGTTCGCTGTGGGGTGTGGAAGGGTGCGTGGTCAGCAGCACCCACCCCTTTCTCTCTTGCACTGACCTCCTCCCCTCTCTCGAACCAACCCCGCACGCATGGCAGGTGGTGATGAGGCTTTGGAGCAGAGTGTTGGGGGCACAGCCAGGGCAGCGCGTGCAGGCGGGCAGCAAGGAGTGCAGTGCTGCAGGGGGCGGGGCAGGGGAGCCGGGGGTTAGGGAGAGAGGGCGCCTACCCTGCCACACTATTACCTCCTGCACTCCCCCCTTACTCCGTTCCGTATTCCCCCACAGTCGTCCTCCTCTCCCTCTCCCTTCCTCCCTTCCTCCATCTCCCTGCCTCACTACCCTCTTTACCCTCTCTGTTGCCCGTCGTCCCTTCCTCCCTTCCTCCCGTCCTCCCGTCCTCCCTTCCTCCCTTCCTCCCGTCCTCCCGTCCTCCCTTCCTCCCGTCCTCCCTTCCTTCCGTCCTGCCTTCCTCTCGTCCTCCCTTCCTCCCGTCCTCCCGTCCTCCCTTCCTTCCGTGATGCCTTCCTCCCGTCCTCCCTTCCTCCCGTCCTCCCTTTGTCCCGTCTTGTTCCCATCCATCCAATCCTTAGCTCCTCCTCACCCCATCTCCTCCCTTCCCTCGAACGAGCTCGCTCATTCCCCTCCTGTCACCCACGCACGCACCCTCCCCTCGACCGACAGGTCGTTCTCCGCTTCCGTCGCATATGCGTTCATCTCCCCTTCCCTCATCTCCCCATTCCTCATCTCCCCCTCCCTCATCTCCCCATTCCTCATCTCCCCTTCCCTCATCTCCCCATTCCTCATCTCCCCCTCCCTCATCTCCCCATTTCTCATCTCCCCTTCCCTCATCTCCCCATCCCTCATCTCCCCCTCCCTCATCTCCCCATCCCACACCTCCCCATCCCTCATCTCCTCATCCCTCATCTCCCCATCCCTCATCTCCCCATTCCGCCTCACCCCATTCCGCCCCACCCCATTCCGCCATGCCATCCTACTCCTCATCCCCATTCCCTCGTTTCCCCATCCCTCCTTTCCCGATCCCATCATTCCCTCTGCCAACTTTCCCATCCCACCATACGGTCATACCCCATCCCGCGACCTCCCCGTCACCTCCACCTGACCCCTCTCCTCCCTGCTTCTTCCCATCTTCCCATCTTCCGCCTCGCCAAAAGGTTTGTTCTTCACCACCTCCGCTATCCATCCTTTCAATACCCATCCCCTCCTCCCCATCCATCCCATCCCCAACTCCTGCCCCTATCCCTCCTCTCGCGATCCCTCCTCTCGTTTTCTCATTCCCTCCTCTCGTTTTCTCATTCCCTCCTCTCCCCGCCCCGTTCCTCCATGTCTCCCATCTGCCGTACCTCACCTCCATCTGTTCCTCCCATCCTCCATCCTCGTTACCTCCCTGCCACCCTTTCTCCTCCCCACCCTCCTCCCCAGCCTTTCTTCCTCCCCTCCCTTCTTCTTCTCCCCCAAGCGTCCTCCCTGCCTCCCTTCCTCCCATCATCACTTCCTCCCTTCCTTCATTCCTGCATTAATCACTTCTTCCCTTCCTCTGTTCCTCCCTCATTTGCCAGTTGTCATTCTTTTGAATGCTTGCTTCCCTTATATTTCAGCCACGTCACATCTGACTTCTTGGTTTGTGTTTGGACAGGCCTGCTCTGCATCTGGTTGTGAATAACCTAGGCTGTCTGATAGTAACATGATGTATAGCCATGCCATGTATTGGATTTTTTTTTTTATAATACAGGATTATGAGCCTCACCTCAGAGCAGTCATACATATGACCAATACCAAGGAGTTCAATAATTAATATATTACCGTATCTGTAAAGTAAGGGGAATCACCCAACTCGAGAAGGGAACAAAGCTAGGGGGTGTGTGTGTGATGTTGCTTCCCGATTTGTCTTGCCAGTCTGCTACACTGCAAGCAAACAAACCAGGCCGTGGTAAAGCCACATCTGGTGCTGGGCACCTGTACCTGCATTGGGGGATATGGGGGTGAGTGAAGTGGGAAAGACAGTAAACGGAATGAGCAGAGGGGAGGAGAAGAAGCAGCGGGGGACAGATTGAACAGAGGGAAAGAGAGGAAGCAGGGGGGAACAGAGTGAGCAGAAGTATAGAGAGTGAGCAAGGGGGAAGAGAGTGAGAAGAGAAGAAGGGGAGGGAGCAAGGGTGAAACAGAGGGAGCAAGGGTGAAACAGAGGGAGCAAGGGTGAAACAGAGGGAGCAAGGGTGAAACAGAGGGAGCAAGGGTGAAACAGAGGGAGCAAGGGTGAAACAGAGGGAGCAAGGGTGAAACAGAGGGAGCAAGGGTGAAACAGAGGGAGCAAGAGTGAAACAGAGGGAGCAAGGGTGAAACAGAGGGAGCAAGGGTGAAACAGAGGGAGCAAGGGTGAAACAGAGGGAGCAAGAGTGAAACAGAGGGAGCAAGGGTGAGCAGGGAAGGCGATGGGGGAAGCAGGGAAGGAGATGGGGGGAAGCAGGGAAGGGGATGGGGGGGAGCAGGGAAGGGGTTGGGAAGAAGCAGTGAAGGGGATGGGGGGAGGCAGGGGAGGGGACGGGGGGAAGGAGGGAAGGGGACGGGGGGGAGCAGGGAAGGGGAATGGGGGAAGCAGGGAAGGGGATGGGGGGAGGCAGGGGAGGGCACAGGCGGAAGGAGGGAAGGGGATGGGGGGAAGCAGGGAAGGAGATGGGGGGAAGCAGGGAAGGGGATGAGGGGGAGCAGTGAAGGGGAAGGGGGGAAGCAGGGAAGGGGATGGGGGGAGGCAGGGGAGGGCACAGGCGGAAGGAGGGAAGGGGATGGGGGGAAGCAGGGAAGGAGATGGGGGGAAGCAGGGATGGGGATGAGGGGGAGCAGGGAAGGGGATGGGGGGAAGGAGGGAAGGGGATGGGGGGAAGCAGGGAAGGAGATGGGGGGAAGCAGGGATGGGGATGAGGGGGAGCAGGGAAGGGGATGGGGGGAAGGAGGGAAGGGGATGGGGGGAAGCAGGGAAGGAGATGGGGGGAAGCAGGGAAGGGGATGGGGGGAGGCAGGGGAGGGCACAGGCGGAAGGAGGGAAGGGGATGGGGGGAAGCAGGGAAGGAGATGGGGGGAAGCAGGGATGGGGATGAGGGGGAGCAGGGAAGGGGATGGGGGGAAGGAGGGAAGGGGATGGGGGGAAGCAGGGAAGGAGATGGGGGGAAGGAGGGAAGGGGACGGGGGGGAGGCAGGGGAGGGCACAGGCGGAAGGAGGAAAGGAGATGGGGGGAAGCAGGGAAGGAGATGGGGGGAAGCAGGGATGGGGATGGGGGGGAGCAGGGAAGGGGATGGGGGGAAGCAGGGAAGGGGATGGGGGGAGGCAGGGGAGGGGAAGGGGGAAGCAGGGAAGGGGATGGGGGGAGCAAGTCGGAGGATGGTGGGAAGCACCGCAGGGGATACGGGGAAACAGGGAAGAAGGGAAGGGTGTATGTGCGGGTTGGAAAGGGGGCGTGACAAGTGTGCGAGATGGGAAGGGAGAAGGGAGGGATGGCAAGGGCAACGAGGAGTGGAAGGGAGGGCGACGGGGGGAGAGAGAGAAAGAGAGCGTGAAGGGGGAAAATGGGTGAGAAATGGGGAAAGCGGGGTGAGAACAAGAGGAGTGAGCAGAGGGAAAGAGAATGAGGCGGGGGGAAGCGAGTGAGCAGGGGGAAAGAGAGTGAGTGGGGGGGGGAGAGAGTGAGCAGGGGGAAAGAGAGGGAGCAGGAGAGAGTGAAAGGCAATGGGAGGGGAAGTGAAGGTGACGGGTGGGGAAGCGAGTGTGACGGGCGGGAAAGCGAGTGCGGCAGGCGTGGAAGGCGACGGGAGGGGGAATCGAAGGCATCGGAGGGGAGAAGTGAAGGCGACGGGAAGGGGAAGTGAGGGCGACGGGAGGGGGAAATGAGGGCGACGGGAGGGGGAAATGAAGGCGACGGGAGGGGGAAATGAAGGCGACGAGAGGGCGAAGTGAAGGCGACGGGAGGGGGAAATGAAGGCAACGGGAGAGGAAGTGAGGGCGACGGGAGGGGGATATGAAGGCGACGGGAGGGGGAAATGAAGGCGACGGGAGGGGGAAATGAAGGCGACGGGAGGGGGAAGTGAAGGCGACGGGAGGGGGAAATGAAGGCAACGGAAGAGGGGGGGGAGGGGGGGGAGTGAAGGCGACGGGCGGAGCGAAGGCGACGGGCTGGGGTCGCGAACGCGACGAGCTGCGGAAGCGATGGCGACGACGCGGGCGACAGAGAGCGGAAGCGAGGGAAAGGAAAACGAGGGCGACGGGAGGGGTCACGTTTGGGCGATTCGATTTTCGCCGCGAGTTTACGCTACGGAGTAGTTGCACAATAACCTGCATTTCGACACAAAAAACTTCACCCAGCGAACACTAGGGTTGCGCATCATCATCGAAATCCGCGCCACCCACATCGTAAGGCCCATCTGATCCCTGTTGAGTGAACGCCGACGCCCAGCCCTGTCTACAAGTATGGTCTATGCCTAGTACTTAGCGTGATATCTCAAACTGTGCACAGTTTGCTGTGCTCGCGCTTTTCTGGTTGTGGGAAGGACCCCACCCATCATGGGAAGCGAGAAACTTTTGTCGCAAATTGGTTTCGCGAGTGAAAGTCTCTCGCAACCCAACCGAGCCTCTCCGTGCCTGCCTCCCGAACCTAGTTTTTTGCGTTGACTTCCGTTGAGTAATTCAGGTCTTGGGCTTTAAGCGTAAGCGTCAAAGTCGGATGTTACCATCCAGCAAAACTGGGAAGCGTCATTGTGTTACTTTTAGCTCGACTTCACCATATTTTTCTTGAAATTTCTGTCGCCTGAACACGCATCGCATCGCATCCCAAGTCCCCAAATCGCATTCCTTTCAACACCACACCACACACGCCACACAAGAAAATGGATGGATGCCCCTCGAAGATCCCTTGGCCTTCTCAAGGGTCGATCGACCCCACCCTATCTTATCCTTGCTGTCTGCCTTCTCGCTGCCTTCGCTGTCCGTTTGCTGCGCGACAGCCCCCAGCTTTCCCTCCCGTGCGTGGAGTCCGTGGACGCCACATTTTCGTGATCTCTTCGATCCTCTGCGACAATTGAAGCGTTTTCCTTCCAGCCTGGATGAGTTGAGAGTGACGACGAGTGGCGACGAGTCACGAGTCACAACTTTTCCTCTCCACTCACGTGGAGAGCTGGAATGAACTTCGAGCCGGAGAGAGAGAGATCAGGGAGTGAGAACTCCGAGTTTGACAACTTCTGGCACAGATGCTTTTGTTGCACAGTCATGAGCATGAGGCCACAGAATCAAAGTTATGTGTATTTGGAGCCCCAGAGAATAAGTGTCTTTGGAATGGACTCCAATTATCTGTAGCAATTTAGTAGTAGTAGCTCTCTTCGGAAGTACGGTCCGTGTTTTCTTGTGTTTTCATTCCATTTTTCTAACGATGACAGACGATGAGTTACGACGTATTACTAGCCTAAGATCAGCGGGATCGGAAGAAGAGGGGGTTAAGGGATGCGGAGGCGACGGAATTTCCGATAAGAAGCTTCAGAAAGCAGACAGAGAGAAATTGCGTCGCGACAAGCTGAATGATCAATTTACCGAGCTCGCGACAGTTCTTGGTGAGGGGTACCACCGCTGGACGTAAGCAATTCGCTTGGCTTCCTAATTTAGGAAACACGGGGGAAAAGGGTCAACTATTCACTTGATGAGGACGTTTTACAACTGTTTTCGAGTCCGACGCTTGGTGAAGGACACCTTTCTTTCCGGAACTCCTTGAGCCTTGAAGTAACATGAAATTGAATTTTTGTTGCGTCACAGACAAAGGTTTGGCCTTCATCTTGTTGCGGACGAACAGCAACCCTATGGTCAGGGCCACAATGGCAACCTTGGCCTTGATGGACACTGCACATCATGCTGTGGGAGGAGCGCATCGCCTCGAGATCCACAAACCCCCATGATCGCGTTCTTGAGTCATCGAGTTTCATAATTTCGCACCCCTTTCATTTGGCCTCAAATTTATTACAATCTCGAAGATTGTTTCTGAGAAAATCTTCGCCGGAGCTTTGATGCTGGAGATCACGACTCTTTGATCGTGTTTCTTTGCTGTCTGTGGCCAGCCCGGGAAAGCGCAAGATTAGCACGGTTGAAAAGAAGCCTTAAGTTTTCGTTTGGTCACCAGAATTACACAGCGACTATCATGCAACGTTGGAGCTCCTTATCTGATGACTGACTCGTTCTTTGCTTCTGCTGCCTATTTTAGACTGATAAAGTCGCAGGAAGCTCAGAAGCGACAGCTCTGACAGCTCCGATAGGGAAAGCAAGCGCCACTAGAAGTTTTGAGCTCCGCTGCTCGCTGCTCCTTGCCTCTCTCCGTCTCCCTGCTCGCTGCTCCGTCTCTCTCTCCCTCTCCTGCTCTCTGCTCCGTGTCTCTCTCCCTCTCCTGCTACCTGCTCCGTATCCTCTCCAGCTCGCTTCTCCGTGTCTCTCCCCCAATCCTGCTCGCTTCTCCGTGTCTCTCTCCCTCTCCTGCTCGCTGCTCCGCGTCTCTCTCCCTCTCCTGCTCGCGTGCTGCCTCTGGCAGTCTTTGCTGTGGGAAGCCCAAGAGTGATAAGGCGGCACTGCTGGGAGACGGCCTTTCAGCACTCCATCAGCTGGTCGTTGCCCCGCTTCACAGACATAAATTTGTGCCTTTTTATCCACTCCCTGAGTCTGCTTTTTTTCTGTCTCCTGTCTCCTGTCACCTCTGTTTCTCTCCTCTCTCCCTAAACCCTCTTCTATCTCCTCTCCACTTTCCTCTCTCCTCTCCACGATCCCAACAAGCCCAAGAGCGACAAGGCGACGGTACCGGGGGACAGCCTAGCAGTGCTGAGAGAGCTGTGCTCCACTCCACTTCACAACATTCAATCTGTGTACCGTTCTTTCCTCTCTCTGCTCTCTTTCGTCTGCACGTGGCAGATCCCAACAAGCCCAAGAGTGACAAGGCGACGGTGCTGGGGGACAGCCTGTCAGCGCTGAGAGAGCTGCGCTCCACCGTGGCGGCGCTGAGGGCGGAACACCGCGTGCTGTCAGGGGAAGCCAAGGAGGTGAGCGCGCATCTTGCTCCCTATGTCCCCAACTTGGCCCTTGCTTGGCCCTTGCCTTGGCCTTTGGCTTGGCCCTTGGTTGGCTCCTTGCATGGAAGCAGCATCCCTTCCTTCTGACCCTCCCACCCCCACCCACCCCCACCCACCTACGCCCCGTCACACACCTACTCGCATTCACCCACCCTCCCAAAGCCCAACCCCCCCCACCCGCCCATCCCCCGAGACAGCTGTCAGCGGAGAAGCAGGAGGTGAGGCAGGAGCGGCAGCTGCTGCGCATGGAGGTGGAGGCGCTACAGGCGCAGCTGCAGATGCGCATGCACGCCATGCTGCCCTGGCTCCCCCCCTCCGCCCTCCCCTCCTTCCCCTTCCCCTCCTCCTCCTCCTCCCCTTCGTCCTCCTTCCCCTCCACTGCCACCCTCTCTGCTCTTGCCGCCTCCCTCCGCCCTCCCAACGGGGCAGCACACTCTTCTGCTGCTGCCTCTGCTGCTGCTGCTGCTGCTGCTGCTGCTGCTTCTCCCTACGCACCAGTTCATCCTGCTACTGCTACTGCTACTGCTGCTGCTGCTGCTGCCATGGCTGCTCCTAACGGGGCAGCGCACCCTTTTTCTCCTGCTAACGCGGGAGTGACACATGGTCCAACCGGTTGGACAACACCCTCTGCTGCCACCGCAAATGGGACACCACACGCTGCTGCTTCTGTGGCAGTTCCTGATGGTGCGGCAAGTGCTGCAGTGGATGGTGCAAATGCGAACCCCTTCGCCCCTGCTTCTACCGCTTCTAACAGCGTTCTTCCAGCGTTTGCTGTTTCTCAGGCCGTTCCAAGCAGCATGGGTCACAGCAGCGGCAGCTCGAGCTCCCTGCTTGGGAACCCCGGTTTTGCTGCTGGTGCCGGGGGACCGTCGTCGTTGCAATTGAACCACCAGTTGCAGCAGCAGCTACAGCAGCAGCTCCAGCAGCAACTGCTGCAGCAGCTGCAGCAACGAATTCTGCAGCAGCAGCAGCACCAGCACCAGCACCAGCAGCAACATCAACAGCACCAGCATCAACAGCAACAGCACCAGCAGCTACATCAACAACACCACCATCAACAGCAACAGCAACAGCAACAGCAACAGCACCAGCAGCAACAGCACCAGCAGCAACAGCAACAGCAGCACCAGCACCAGCAGCAACAGCCACAACAGCAGCAGCAACAACAATGGCAGCAGCACCAGCAGCAGCAGCAGCAGCACCAGCACCAGCAGCAGCAGCAGCAACAGCATTTCGCTGTTCCACCTACCTCTTTCACCTTCAATCTTGAAAATCCCCTCTCAACTCCATTCACCACCAACCTGTCTCAACCGATCCACACTCCCATGCCACCGCCTCCATTCCCCCCCTCGCACCTCAAAGTAACACCAGCGTTGCACAATCAGCATAATTCTGCAGCAGGGACGCCAGCAGCACTTAACCCGAACCAGGGACCAGGTCCTCCTCTTTCTCCCCAGATTCCTACCGCTCCTGCATCTCCTGCCCTGTTTACACCTTTTTTGGGGGTAAATTCCCCAGCTTCTACATCAAAACCTCCTTCGGCTGCGACCACACCACCGCCGCCTCCTGCAACAGTCCAACCTTTTTCTGGGGTAACTTCCCCTGCCCCCACCACCGTTTTCCCTGGGAGTGCTGCGTCCACCACTCTCCAGGCAGTCCTCCAATCAGCAGATGCCATATCAGCAGCCGCAGCAGCAGCAGTGGTGGCGGCTAGTGCACAACCAGAATCAGGAGCGGCAGCAGTGGCGGCAGCAGGAGCAGAAGCAGAGGCAAGAGCAGCAGTGACCAGCATACACGCCCCAGGAAGCGTAGTGCTAGGTTTGCAGCAGAAAACTGAAGGTGAAATGGTGGGAGCTGCTGAGATGAGGCAGCAGCAGGTGAGCTGGCAGAACGCTCAACTGCAGCAGACCGTGGTGCAGCAGCAGCCTTTGTATCCGCTGCAGCCCCCACATCAGCAGGAGCAGCATTCACATGAGCAGCAGCAGCAGCAGCAGCAGCAGCAGCAGCAGCAGCAGCAGCAGCAGCAGCAGCAGCAGCAGCAGCAGCAGCAACGGTTACAACCGGACCATCTGCTACAGCACCCACATTACAAACAGCACCAGCACCAGCACCACCAACAGCAACAGCAACAGCAGGTCACATCTATAGGCTACCTACATGGAAACCATGCCATCCCCCCTCTCGTTCCACCACCGGGTTTCACCCCATCCCCGGCCGCTGCTGCCCTCCCTGCTTGTCCCTTCGCCGTCCCCTCTGCTCTCCCCCCCACCGCCCTCTCTAACTCCCCCTCCGCCCCCCCTGCTACTGCTCCCCCTACTGTTCCTGCCACGCAACTCGAAGCAGCAGCCACCGTGCCTGCGCCACTCTTAACCCTACCACCCAGAACGAACCTCTCTACATCCCCATCACTGGCCGCACCGTATGTGACACCACCAACCACCGCACATTTCCGGGTGTCAGCATCGGTCACACACTCGCAGCCGGCACCACTTGTGACACACTCCCTGGCGCCACCACCTGTGACACTCCCAAGAGCATCACCACCCTCAGGGAAGGACCTGACACTATCCCTGAGCGGTGCAGGCTTCAGCAGTGCTCACAACAGCAGCAGCTCGCTGCAGCAGGCACAGCCTGGACGCAGTCTTGTGGGGCCAGCAGCAGCAGGTGAAAGCAGAATGTTGGGCAAGTTAGCAGAGGAGCACGGAATACATGGAACAACAGCAGGTGAGCAGGGGATGCATGGGGCAGCAGGTGAGCAGGGGATAGAGAGGGCAGCAAAGGACCAGCAGGGGACGCAGGTGGCAGCAGCAGCAGCAGCAGGCGACGAGAGCGTGCTGAGGCATGCTGTGAACGAATGCACACAGCCGAGGGTAGCAGGAGGCAGTCAGGAAACGCAGAGGATACCACAAGACCAGCAGGGCAAGCAGGCGACAGCAGCAGCAGGCGACGATAGCATGCTGAGGCATGCTATGAACGGAACCACACAGCCGGGGGCAGCAGGAAGTGCAGAGGAGAAGGGCGCGGTTGAGAACTCTCAGGAAGGCCTTCTGCCAAAAGTGGTGGGCTCGAGTGTGAGTGACTGTCAAGAACCCCTCTTACCACAACACGTGGGCTCAAGTGCTGCCGACTCTCGAGAACCTCTAAGCTTGACATCGGGGGTGGTCCGCAAATGGGCTGTGGATGGACGGGAGGAGGGTGCAGAGCGATTAGTTTTTGCTAAGTCTCCAAAATTAGCTGAGGAAGAGGGCAGACGGGAGGGATGGGTGGGTTCTCCCCTCGAGGGGTGTGGGCAGGGGCGGCTGGGGAATGTAAAGGAGGAGGAGAAGGGGGAGGAGAAGGAGGAAGGAGGTGGTGGTAGGGGTGATCAAACAGGGGATGAGGAGATGGAGACGGCGGAGAAGGTGGGGGAGCAGAGCAGGAAGCGCAACTGGCTTTCGCTGTTCTGAACTGGAATTGATCGAGGCTCGGCACGTCGATTGCTCCGGCTCTGGACTCTTGAAGAAGATTAAAGTGACTGATGCGTCAGCAGCGACTAGAAAAGATGGGCCTTAGCAGTCAGCACTGCAGCGTATGGCCTCACACCGGGCAATCAACGGGGCAACGAGAAAGCATATTCGTTTCCAGCCGTATCAGATTAAGCTCTTTACCACCACCACTGCAGTGCATGCGTGGCCTCACACCAAGGAATCGGTGGGGCAGCAAGGAGCGCACCAGATTCAGCTCATTCAGATCGTTCTAGATCCATCTGCGATTCCTTGTCCTATTTTTTCCTTCTCACCTTGTCCTCCAAGCCCCCATGCTGCCCATAGTATGAGTTTCTTCTACATAGAAGCTGGAATGAAGCCCGCTTGCTGCTGCTGCAGCATTGCTTGTTTTTGTTTCTTACCTTTTTGCTGTTCCTGCTTGAAGTGCTGCGTTTTGGTGCTAACGGAGAGCAATGTTCTGTCCTGCATTATCAGTGCCTATTTTGCGTTCCAGCCGCAGTAATTGTTCACGTTCCCTGTCTGCATGTGCCATAATGTATCAGTATGATGAGGGTACTGTCGCACTAAGCATCTAGTTTATTGTCAAGTGAATGTTGCAATTTGGACTACTACCGGTACATGACACTGGGCTGGTGTCTATTTTTGGGCATCATTCGTCATCCCAGGTATTAGGTCAAGTCTGCGTGATGCGGTTTGGTTTCTTTTGTTGTGAGATGTAAACAAAATGCAAAACTGGTTCCTGGTACTACTTGATGAGGAGGAACAAGGCTATAACGAGGCCTTCATTTGTCATTTCACTTCCGCAGGAGAGAAGCCCACTGCTACGATGATCCAATAATTTGATAACTCCTCCTCACCGTGGATTCCGGTTGTTGGTCCCTCTCATCGACGTTTGTTGCGTGGGTAACCAGATTGTTCATTTTGCGCCTCGAAACCTGGATGCATGAATGATTGGTCAGACAATAAATTTGCGATTGGGTTCGTTCTGACGTGGCTTGGGGTTTTGCGCCTCGAACCCTGCCTGGATGAGTTATATTTGTCAGTCAATCATTCTGCGATCAGGTTTTCTGCCCGCTCGCATACCCGCCGAACAGCGGCGCGGGGTTCTTGCCAGCTATGGTGTTTCCGCAGCCAAGTCCGCCGCAGTTCCCGCGTATGGGCTGGCTGGCCCGTCATCAACGATGCACCAGCAATCGATAAAGCGTCGGCACTTTAGTTGGAGCCACCAGCTTGCAACGTTTCACAAGCTAGTAGTGTTTCCGAGTGGTATAGGCTAGCAGCCGTTTGCATCCGTGAGATCCTGGCCGTTAAATATATCTTTAGCTTCTGCTACTCAGCTTACGCCAAAATGGGTCGCGTCGTTATGCTCGCCGTTGCTGCGGTCGTCGTCGTCGTCGTTTCGCTCTGCTCGTCGTACCCAGTCGCTGCATCTTCCACAGATAAGGGTCCCATCACGGAAGGCGGAGGCTGGTCCAAAATCAAGGATGCAGTTGCGGATTATAACGCGGTGTTGCTGGCCAAGTACGCGGTCAAAACGCACAACAGTAATATGGTACGACCAGGTGAATTCGTTCGTTTCTCGTGAATTACTCCTTTTGTTCCTCCCCGCTCTCGCATCTCTCTCGTGTCAAATATAAGTCTCTCTCTCTCTCTCTCTCTCTCTCTCTCTCTCTCTCTCTCTCTCTCTCTCTCTCTCTCTCTCTCTCTCTCTCTCGCCTGCTCTCTCTCGCTCTCTCTCTCTCTCTCTCTCTCTCTCTCTCTCTCTCTCTCTCTCTCTCTCTCTCTCTCTCTCTCTCTCGCCTGCTCTCTCTCGCCTGCTCTCTCTCGCTCCCTCTCTCCCTCTCCCTCACTCCCTCCCACACACACGCATCCACACACACTTACACTCACGTTGACACACACTCCAACTTTTTTTCTTCCAACTCGTCCATTTCCTGTCGTCACTCCCCTATGTTCCCACCACCACCATGTCTGTCCCTCCACCATCCATGCGCACCTTCCACCATCCATGCGCACCTTCCACCATCCATGCGCACCTTCCACCATCCATGCGCACCTTCCACCATCCATGCGCACCTTCCACCATCCATGCGCACCTTCCACCATCCATGCGCACCTTCCACCATCCATGCGCACCTTCCACCATCCATGCGCACCTTCCACCATCCATGCGCACCTTCCACCATCCATGCGCACCTTCCACCATCCATGCGCACCTTCCACCATCCATGCGCACCTTCCACCATCCATGCGCACCTTCCACCATCCATGCGCACCTTCCACCATCCATGCGCACCTTCCACCATCCATGCGCACCTTCCACCATCCATGCGCACCTTCCACCATCCATGCGCACCTTCCACCATCCATGCGCACCTTCCACCATCCATGCGCACCTTCCACCATCCATGCGCACCTTCCACCATCCATGCGCACCTTCCACCATCCATGCGCACCTTCCACCATCCATGCGCACCTTCCACCATCCATGCGCACCTTCCACCATCCATGCGCACCTTCCACCATCCATGCGCACCTTCCACCATCCATGCGCACCTTCCACCATCCATGCGCACCTTCCACCATCCATGCGCACCTTCCACCATCCATGCGCACCTTCCACCATCCATGCGCACCTTCCACCATCCATGCGCACCTTCCACCATCCATGCGCACCTTCCACCATCCATGCGCACCTTCCACCATCCATGCGCACCTTCCACCATCCATGCGCACCTTCCACCATCCATGCGCACCTTCCACCATCCATGCGCACCTTCCACCATCCATGCGCACCTTCCACCATCCATGCGCACCTTCCACCATCCATGCGCACCTTCCACCATCCATGCGCACCTTCCACCATCCATGCGCACCTTCCACCATCCATGCGCACCTTCCACCATCCATGCGCACCTTCCACCATCCATGCGCACCTTCCACCATCCATGCGCACCTTCCACCATCCATGCGCACCTTCCACCATCCATGCGCACCTTCCACCATCCATGCGCACCTTCCACCATCCATGCGCACCTTCCACCATCCATGCGCACCTTCCACCATCCATGCGCACCTTCCACCATCCATGCGCACCTTCCACCATCCATGCGCACCTTCCACCATCCATGCGCACCTTCCACCATCCATGCGCACCTTCCACCATCCATGCGCACCTTCCACCATCCATGCGCACCTTCCACCATCCATGCGCACCTTCCACCATCCATGCGCACCTTCCACCATCCATGCGCACCTTCCACCATCCATGCGCACCTTCCACCATCCATGCGCACCTTCCACCATCCATGCGCACCTTCCACCATCCATGCGCACCTTCCACCATCCATGCGCACCTTCCACCATCCATGCGCACCTTCCACCATCCATGCGCACCTTCCACCATCCATGCGCACCTTCCACCATCCATGCGCACCTTCCACCATCCATGCGCACCTTCCACCATCCATGCGCACCTTCCACCATCCATGCGCACCTTCCACCATCCATGCGCACCTTCCACCATCCATGCGCACCTTCCACCATCCATGCGCACCTTCCACCATCCATGCGCACCTTCCACCATCCATGCGCACCTTCCACCATCCATGCGCACCTTCCACCATCCATGCGCACCTTCCACCATCCATGCGCACCTTCCACCATCCATGCGCACCTTCCACCATCCATGCGCACCTTCCACCATCCATGCGCACCTTCCACCATCCATGCGCACCTTCCACCATCCATGCGCACCTTCCACCATCCATGCGCACCTTCCACCATCCATGCGCACCTTCCACCATCCATGCGCACCTTCCACCATCCATGCGCACCTTCCACCATCCATGCGCACCTTCCACCATCCATGCGCACCTTCCACCATCCATGCGCACCTTCCACCATCCATGCGCACCTTCCACCATCCATGCGCACCTTCCACCATCCATGCGCACCTTCCACCATCCATGCGCACCTTCCACCATCCATGCGCACCTTCCACCATCCATGCGCACCTTCCACCATCCATGCGCACCTTCCACCATCCATGCGCACCTTCCACCATCCATGCGCACCTTCCACCATCCATGCGCACCTTCCACCATCCATGCGCACCTTCCACCATCCATGCGCACCTTCCACCATCCATGCGCACCTTCCACCATCCATGCGCACCTTCCACCAGAACACGAAGCTCGTGTTCTGTCCGTCACAGGTGCATGGACCCGAATGCAGGGTGGCCTCACGTGGAGAATCCACCTGCTTGCCATGAGCCCTGGGCGGCGCCGGCCTACAAAATACGTTGCGTTGATTTACACAAGGTCAGACTTTATGGGGCTGCTCTCTTTTACGAAAGGGACTTCCTCTGCACGGAGCAGCAACTCAGTGGTGCAGAATGCCAACCGAGCGGCGCGGAATGCCAACCCAGCGGTGCAGAATGCCAACCCAGCGGTGCGGAATGCCAACTCAGCGGTGCGGAATGCCAACCCAGCGGTGCAGAATGCCAACCCAGCGGTGCAGAATGCTCCGCTTTGAAAGAGGCGTTGATTACCGCGGACAAGTTACAAGGCTCACCCCTGCTGTGAATACTTATTCACATTGAACGTCACGGATGCACTTATGCAGGATGTGGTTTATGCAAGGCATGGTTGGCTGTGTGTGTGATGTGTTTGGTATGTGGTTGGTTGGCCTAACAGCCTGGACCTTCACTTGTACATTATTATATTGCATGTAGCACCCACAGCACTCAACTAGTTCATTCAATACATAGGTACAAGCAGTCTACAAAACTCTGAGCCATATACAACCCTAGTCCTCTTTACAAACATTTCCAGATACTGTGTTGTCTAGCATAGCAGAGCACCTAAGTGCTCTTGTCATAAACCTCCTCAAAACACACACTACTGTGACACATTGTTGTCTGCAAAACCAAGTTTGGTGCAAATGTGAATCGTGCAAACGGCGCAGCATGCAGCATGCTGCACACAGCACATGGGGCCAAGCAGGCTAGATAGTGCGGGTGTTGTACGAGCCACAGGCAGAGCATTTGTGGTAGAGCCAGTGGAAAGGCGCATTCCCCTTGGCCTCACAGTCATTGCAGAGAATGGTCTGGAGGGAGCAAGGAACGAAAATGCCATGAGTTTTTGAGACGTCTTAAATATAAAAGCAGGGAAGAATGTCAGCAGAGGGTGCAAAAGAGCACACAGAAATACCATGTGCTATCAACCATGAAATGGAATACGTGCTCTGATACAATACGTCCCACGCCATGCCTGTGCTGAATTTTGCACATTGTGTGACAATGCAGAGGTGCACGCGGGTCAACACACACTAGTAGCAGCAGCAACGGGCTAAGCAGGCAAGAGAGAGAGCTCAAGAGCACACCTGTTGTCGGTTGCAGTACTCCTCTGGAAGCTGCTCAGCTGATAGTAAAGCATCCAGCATTCCAAAGTACACCTGATGAATGCAGCAGAGGAGCAAATGGAAGTGACACGGCAGCAAGTCAGCAAACAAGTAGCAACAATGGAGTGAACACGCTTCCACTCAGAGGCTTAGCACATGAAACTTTCATCACGGCACTGGCATCACAGCAGATGGATGCGCTACACGGGCCTCCATGCTCAGGAATTGGAAAATTAGGCGCTGGCATACACACATGGCATGGCCCTCACACACCTGCAACACATGGCATGGCCCTCACACACCTGTAACACATGGGATGGGGCAGGTGTGGATGCTCACCGAACGCATTAAGTGTCTACCATTGGCATACCCGCAAGTCCCCGCATACCATAGACATGTGAGATGATGCACAGAAGCCAAGCATTGTGCCAGTTGCTTCAGGCGTGGTGGCCGCCCTACCTCCCCTGTCAAACCCTCAGGGCTGTAATCCGTGAAAACTGAGTGGTGAAGGCACAACTGTTGGTTATTACAACCTTTGCAGGTGCTGCTGTGCACCTGTCCATGCTCCCAGGTCTCACCTGGCGTCGTCAAAGAGCTTGCAGATGCAGCAGTAGTGCTTGGCCATGGAGTAGCCGTTGCAGAAGGTGACTCTTGAATCAAGTCAAAGGTCACCAAGTCTCACCTGGCGTCGTCAAAGAGCTTGCAGATGCTGCAGTAGTGTTTGGCCATGGAGTAGCCGTTGCAGGAGGGCGTGGCACAGTGCTGCCCCACTGGCTGCACCTTGAGACACTTCATGCACATCATCTCCTTCACCGCATGCCTGGTGGGGTAGGATACGACAGGGTGGAAGCGGAAGAGAAAGGCAGGCAGGAGGTTGGGACGTGAGGTGGACATTAACACGCCTTCAAAATTTGAGGCCCCATTGGCTGCACCTGCAGGCAATTCATAAACCCGCACCGCATGCCTGGTGGGTTAGGACAGGAGGGGGTGGAGGCGGAGAAGAGGGCAAAGCAGAAGAGAGGTTGTGAATAGAGAAAATTCTCAAGAGAATTGCCCATAGCGTGTTAATATTCGATTCTGTAAGTACAACGGAGAAACTAATTTGCGACTGAAGGAGGAACTGAGGGAGGAAGGAACTGAGGGAGGAACTGAGGGAGGAACTGAGGGAGGAACTGAGGGAGGGACAGAGGGAGGAACTGAGGGAGGGACTGAGGGAGGGACAGAGGGAGGAACTGAGGGAGGGACTGAGGGAGGAACTGAGAGAGGGAATGAGGGAGGAACTGAGGGAGGGACAGAGGGAGGAACTGAGGAAGGAACTGAGGGAGGGACTGAGGGAGGGAATGAGGAAGGAACTGAGGGAGGGACAGAGGGAGGAACTGAGGGAGGGACTGAAGGAGGGACAGAAGGAGGGACAGAGGGAGGAACTGAGAGAGGGACTGAGGGAGGAAATGAGGAAGGGACAGAGGGAGGAACTGAGGGAGGGACTGAGGGAGGGACTGAGGGAGGAAGTGAGGGAGGAAGTAAGGGAGGAACTGAGGGAGGAACTGAAGGAGGAACTGAGGGAGGGACAGAGGGAGGGACTGAGGGAGGAACTGAGGGAGGAACTGAGGGAGGAACTGAGGGAGGAACTGAGACAGGAAGGAACTGAGGGAGGGACTGAGGGAGGAACTGAAAGAGGAACTGAGGGAGGGACTGAGGGAGGGACAGAGGGAGGAACTGAGGGAGGGACTGAGGGAGGGACAGAGGGAGGGACTGAGGGAGAAAGTGAGGGAGGAACTGAGGGAGGAACTGAGGGAGGAACTGAGGGAGGAACTGAGACAGGAAGGAACTGAGGGAGGGACTGAGGGAGGAACTGAAAGAGGAACTGAGGGAGGGACTGAGGGAGGGACAGAGGGAGGGACTGAGGGAGAAAGTGAGGGAGGAACTGAGGGAGGAACTGAGGGAGGAACTGAGGGAGGAACTGAGACAGGAAGGAACTGAGGGAGGGACTGAGGGAGGAACTGAAAGAGGAACTGAGGGAGGGACTGAGGGAGGGACAGAGGGAGGAACTGAGGGAGGAACTGAGGGAGGAACTGAGGGAGGAACTGAGACAGGGAGGAACTGAGGGAGGGACAAAGGGAGGAACTGAGGGAGGAACTGAGGGAGGAACTGAGGGAGGAACTGAGGGAGGAACTGAGGGAGGGACAGAGGGAGGAACTGAGGGAGGGACTGAGGGAGGGACAGAGGGAGGGACTGAGGGAGAAAGTGAGGGAGGAACTGAGGGAGGAACTGAGGGAGGAACTGAGGGAGGAACTGAGACAGGAAGGAACTGAGGGAGGGACTGAGGGAGGAACTGAAAGAGGAACTGAGGGAGGGACTGAGGGAGGGACAGAGGGAGGGACTGAGGGAGAAAGTGAGGGAGGAACTGAGGGAGGAACTGAGGGAGGAACTGAGGGAGGAACTGAGACAGGAAGGAACTGAGGGAGGGACTGAGGGAGGAACTGAAAGAGGAACTGAGGGAGGGACTGAGGGAGGGACAGAGGGAGGAACTGAGGGAGGAACTGAGGGAGGAACTGAGGGAGGAACTGAGACAGGAAGGAACTGAGGGAGGGACTGAGGGAGGAACTGAAAGAGGAACTGAGGGAGGGACTGAGGGAGGGACAGAGGGAGGAACTGAGGGAGGAACTGAGGGAGGGACAAAGGGAGGAACTGAGGGAGGAACTGAGGGAGGAACTGAGGGAGGAACTGAGGGAGGAACTGAGGGAGGGACAGAGGGAGGAACTGAGGGAGGGACTGAGGGAGGGACAGAGGGAGGGACTGAGGGAGAAAGTGAGGGAGGAACTGAGGGAGGAACTGAGGGAGGAACTGAGGGAGGAACTGAGACAGGAAGGAACTGAGGGAGGGACTGAGGGAGGAACTGAAAGAGGAACTGAGGGAGGGACTGAGGGAGGGACAGAGGGAGGAACTGAGGGAGGAACTGAGGGAGGAACTGAGGGAGGAACTGAGGGAGTGACAGAGGGAGGAACTGAGGGAGGAACTGAGGGAGGAACTGAGGGAGGGACTGAGGGAGGGACAGAGGAAGGAACTGAGGGAGAAAGTGAGGGAGGAACTGAGGGAGGAACTGAGGGAGGAACTGAGGGAGGAACTGAGGGAGGGACAGAGGGAGGGACTGAGGGAGGGACAGAGGGAGGAAGTGAGGGAGGAAGGAACTGAGGGAGGGACTGAGGGAGGAACTGAGGGAAGGAACTGAGGAAGGAACTGAGCGAGTGACTGAGGAAGGAAGCTCTATGGATTGGGTGCCATCTGGGGTGGGTGTTGTTTGGGGAGCGTGTGTCGTTCTCCATTTGCCGTTTCTATACCAGCTGTGACCATCAACCCATGGCAGTGTTAACCCCACGTGCCACATTTGCTAGTGCTGCATCGACGATTTCCCTTCTCCCTGCTCCATGCTCTCTTCCCACCCATGGCAATGGTAACCCCCACGTGCCTGACTAGTTTCTTGAGAGTGCGCTTCCACCCACCCACCCTCTTCCCCCGCCACACTCTCTCCTCACCAGAGGCCAAGACCACCTCACAAGGAGGGCGTGTCACACGGAGCTAGCACAGCACCTCACGGCGTTCCTGGCAGCCCATCATCCGGCTAACGTGCTTTCCACCTTCCTCTCCCTCTGTCCCCCACGCACGCACATGCTCTCCCGTCTACTCCCCACCAGCGGCCAAGACTACTTGACAAGGAGGACCCGTGCTGCCTCACATGGCTGAGGACGCCTGGCAGAACCTTCCCAGCAACTTCCCCGGGCCCGTTCCCTCCGTCTTCCAAATGCCGTGGCCCGAGCCGGAAGCTGATTGGCTATCGTTCGGGGACGCTGAGCTGGCTACATGGGGCACGCTCATCGGCGTTCCAGCAACAGCTGCGTGTCCTTTCCGCCGCGTTCTAAGGCCAACGCTGTGGTGTGCAGCCTGTCCCTTGTGAAAGAACAAACGGTGCGATGTAAACAAAAAGAAAAACTAGTGTCTAATACTACTGGATGAGGAGAAACACGGCTATAACGAGGATAGCCTGGTTTAGCCGATTGTCGATTCTCTTTCACAGGAGGGAAGTCCGCTGGTACAATTATCCAAGAGGATAACTCCTCTCCTCACCGTGGTTTCCGGTTGTTGGTCGCTCTCATCGATTGTCGTTGCCTAGCCAGTTAGGGCGGGTCAGGTTGCTTTTAATTCTGTTTTTCGCCTAATAAACCAATGTTTGCTTGCACAGTAACCACACCCTCCTCAGACGGTGGCACGAAAGGACAGCGTGTGGGCGAGGGGCTGCGTGTTACTCACAGCCATGCTTGACTTTTTTCCAATATGTCGCACGTATTCTCGCCGTACCTGTAGCGTGTTTTTCACACAATCCCAACGTTTCAAAGCGATGCGTGTCGGGTCAAATATCGATTGCAGCATATAGAGTTCAGTTACAAGCAGAAAACGGGTCCCTGCACTGTAGATTTTCTGAAAACGAACGCGACCTGACGCGCCTTAGGTCACCCAACCAGCTTGGATTCGGTCGGGTTGGGTTTTGATTAACTATTTGTCAGTCAATAATTCTGCGACCAGGTTTTTTGCCCGCTCACGTTGACGCTCCTTTCAAACTGATTATCTCGCAGCCAAACCCGCCGCAGTTCCCGCATATAGGTTGGCTTGCATGTCATCAACAATGCACCAGCAATCTATAAAGCACCGGCAGTTTAATTGGAAGCACTATCTTCCAACGTTTCACAATCTAGTGTTTCGGAGTGGTATAGGCTAGCAGACTTTTACATCAGCGTGATCCTGACCGTTGATAATAGCTTCTGATACTCACCTTACGCTAACATGGGTCGCGTTGTTCTGCTTGCCGTTGCAGCGGTCGTCGTCGTCGTTTCGCTCTGCTCGTCGTATCCAGTCGTTTCGCTGCATCTTCCACCGATGGGGCTCCCATCAAGGGAGGCGGAGGTGGGCGGCCTTCCGCGAAAAGCGCAGATGGGGGGGCCATCACGAGGGGCGGAGGTGGGCGGCCCTCCGCGAAAAGCGCAGATGGGGGGCCCATCACGAGGGGCGGAGGTGGGCGGCCCGGCGTCTCGGGAGGCGGAGATGGGGGGCGCCCCACGAAAGGCTGGTCCGTCAAGAAGCATGCAACTACGGATGATCACGTGCTGAAGCTGGCCATGTTCGCCGTCGAGCAACACAACAGGAAGAAGGTATGACCAAGTGCACTTTTTTGTTTCGCGTGTGTTCGAGTCCTTTGTTTGCACCCACCACCATGTCTGTCCTTCCACCACCCATGCCCACCTTCCACCAGAACACGAAGCTCATGCTGTCGTACGTCACAGCTGCATGGTTCCAAGCGGCGGCGGCTGGCCGCAAGTGGAGAATCGGCATGCGTGTCAAAGGCGCTGGGCGCCCCAGCCAGGTGCGAGCGCCTATTGTTTCCACGTACGAGGCGGAGATTAACGAGAAGCAATGGGGAGGCGGTCTCCAGCTGCTCTCTTTCAAGGAGGTGACTTCCGCTGCACAGAAGAACGAGGAGCAGAATGCTCCGCTTCGGAAGAGGCGTTAATTACAAGTTACAAGGCTCGCCCCTGCTGTGAATATGCTATTCACATTGAACGTCACGGATGCACTTATGCAGGATGTGGATTATGCAAGGCCTTCAGGGCATGTTTGGCTGTGTGATGTGTTTGGCTGTGTGATGTGTTTGGCTGTGTGATGTGTTTGGTATGTTGTGTTGTGTGTTACGAGTGCAATTGAGTGAATGAACGAGAATTGCACTATCGAAGCAAGCGTACAATGAGCGAAGGCATGAGCGAAGAATATATAGCGAAACTACAGTGGTAACGGTAATGGACTGTGGTTGTCGCGCGACGGGCCTGGGACTGAGGTTGGGAAAAAGTGTCGAAGCGGAGGCCCGGAGCGCGGGTTACCCGCCGAGCCGTGAGGTCGGGGTGCGACGTGCGAAAGTGGCGGGCGGATTGTCGATGCGAGGATTGCGAGTGGTAACGGTGCTGACTGTGGTGCTACAGTGATGTACGCGTTGAGCAGGGATGCGAAGTAAGGAAAAGGGATTTTCCTTACACTACCCCCCCCCCCCCTTTAAGGAGGTCCTCCTTACGAAAGTGCGTGTACATCCCTGAAATTGCGGCTGCGCAGATATTCAGTGAGGACGGGGTGGTTTTCGATTCTGTCCAGGGGAACCCAATTGTCTTCGGTGGGTGTACGGTCCTTCCAACGGAGTAAGAACTCGATCCTTCGGGCTCCTCGAGGGTCGCGAACTCTGTGACTCATGATTTTTTCGGGGGTGATGATCGGTTCGGTTGGTGGTCTTGTCATGCTAGCTGGGCGATTGCGTGGCAGTTGGCTCGTGGACGGGACGTAAGGGCGAAGTAGGCTGACGTGGAATGAGGGGCTGACGTACCAGTCAGCAAGGAGGAGGAGGTGGGCGGTGACGGGTGTGAGCATGTGGCTTATGCGAAATGGCCCGCAGTATCGGGGGCGGAGTTTCGGGGTGATGGGCAGTCGGAGGTTCTGGGTGTCGAGCAAAACTAAGTCGTCGGGCTGGTAAGTGTCAGGTCTGCGGTGGCGGTCGGCGTTGCGTTTAGCGATGATGTTAGCTTTTTTAATTGCGTCTGCTGCCCTGGTCCGTGCTACTTGCAAAATTTCGGCGAACTGTTGCGCGCGTGGAACCGGGTTGTCGGGATTCGGGGTCATGGGTACTGTTGGGTCTTGTCCGTAGTTCAGGTAAAACGGTGACTGTTGGGTCGTGGCGGATGGGGCGTTGTTGTATGCGAATTCGATGAGTGGCAGTTGCTGTTCCCACGTGTTCGGGTCGTCACACGTGGCCCTGATGAGCTGTTCCATGGTTTGATTTGTCCGTTCTGTCTGTCCGTCGGTTTCGGGGTGGTATGATGAACTGAACTGTATTCGTGTGCCGAACTGTTGCCACAGGTTCCGCCAGAATTTGCTGGTGAATTTCGTGTCGCGGTCGCTGATGATCGCGGCTGGTATCCCGTGCAATCGAACGACGGTGGAGATGAAGAGGCGTGCTGTTTCTTCGGCTGTGATTGATTTTTTGCAGGCTGCGAAATGTGCCATTTTCGTCAGTCGATCGACGACGACCAGGATCGCGTCGTTTCCACTCGCCCCGGCCGGTAACCCTGTGACGAAGTCCATCGTCACCTGCTGCCAAGCGCGCTCTTGGGGTGGTATCGGCTGCAATTGTCCCGCCGGCCGCTGTCGTGATGATTTCACGAGCTGACATGTGGGACATGATGCCACATGTCGTTGTACGTCGGTCAACATTTCGGGCCAGTAATAGTACCGCTGCAGTTGCTGCCGTGTTTTCTCTACCCCGAAATGTCCCGAGGTAACTCCGTCGTGTGCCTCCTGTAATAGTAACTCCCGTAGCAGAGTGTACCCTGGTACCCAGATGCGGTCGGTCCCGGCTTTTACGTAATAGACTCCTTTGGCTGCTGCGAACTGCTGCGAATTTCCTCCTGTGAAGAATGGGTCCGTTTGATATCTGTGGATAAATAGCCCTGTTAGTAGCGGGCTAGTCTGGGCGATTAGTATCGCGTGGATCTGGGCCGTGGGGCGGGTCAGTGCATCGGCGATGTTCGAGGCTCCCTTTTTATAGGTGACCGTGTAGTGGAAATTGGACTCGAGGAAATCGAGCCCGCGAATCTGTCGTGGGTTGAGGTGGGGCTGTGCGCGGAGGTACTGTAGTGATCGGTGGTCTGTCCGTACTGTCACGTCTGCGCCGGTCAAGTAGCAGCGCCACACTTTGAACGCATGCACGATCGCGAGCATTTCGCGGTCGTGTATCGGGTAATTTCGCTCGAGCGGATGCAGTTTTCGTGACTCGTATGCGATGGGCTGTAGGCCGTTGCCGAAGTCCTGTAGCAGTACGGCTCCAATGGCGATGTCGCTTGCGTCTGTAACAACCTCGAAAGGGCGGTGTGGGTCGGCGATGCGCAGGATGGGCGGTGAACAGAGAACATTTTTCAGGGCAGAGAAGGCAGCATGCTCTTTCTCCCCCCACGTAAAAACGACCCCCTTCCGTAGTAAGTCCGTTAGTGGGGCAGTTAACCGTGCCATATCGGGGACGAACCAACGCACATAATTAACGAACCCTAAAAAACTCTGCAGCTCCGTGATGTTCGTCGGGGAACGCCACGCTTTTACCGTATCCAGCTTCTTTGGGTCGATTTCAACCCCAGCCTCTGAAATGACGTGCCCTAAAAATTCTAACCTATCCTGGAAGAACTCGCACTTGGAACCCTTGGTCAATAGGCGATGCTCGTCTAAAACCTTAAAAACCGCTTCCAAATCCGCTAAGTGCTGTTGCTTATCCCGACTGTAAACTAGGATGTCGTCGAGGTAAACTATGACACATTTATCTAAGAGTGGCCTAAATGCCTCGTTCATGGTCATCTGAAAAGTCGCCGGTGCGTTGGTCAGCCCGAATGGCATCACAGTGTACTCGAACGACCCGTACCTAGTCCTAAATGCTGTCTTGGCGCAGTCCGATGGTTCGACCCGAATCTGATGGTAACCCCCCCGTAAGTCTATTTTCGAAAACACCCGTGTTGTTCGCAGTTGGTCGATCAGTTCGTCGGCGCGGGGAATGGGGTATCGCGACTTGACTGTTACCCTGTTCAGTGCTCTGTAGTCGATACACATGCGAAAACCCCCGTCTTTTTTCGGCGTGAACAGTATCGGTGCGGCGAATGGTGACGAGCTTGGTCGGATGAACTTTTTCTCTAACAGGTAATCTAACTGCTTCCTTAGTTCATCGAGCTCGGGCTGTGTCAGTCTGAACTGGCGCTGTAAGGTCGGCTGTGCCCCTGGTTCTAATTCGATTCGGTGGTCATGTGCTCGCTGAGGTGGCAATCCTTCCGGTAAGTCGTCAGTGAAAATCCCGGGGTACCGTTTCAATAGTTCCTGTAATTCGGGCGGTACAGCTGCCAGCAGTTTCTTGAAATCACTCGGCTGCTCTGCTTCCTCTACTACTGCGATGTCTACTGCGTACACGTCAGCTCCAGCAGCGACAGCCCGTTTCATTGTGATGGCGTTGACGTGCACCGTTGAAGACTCGGGCGACTGCCAGCGAGGTAGTTGGACCCAGTTACCACCACTTCGCACGGTGCAGCTACCCGTCGTCCAGTCAATTCGCGGGTTATACCGTCGCAGCCAATCGCGCCCCAGTAAAATATCGTGCCCATCCAGTGTCGTTGCGAGCATTTCCTGTGTAAACCGGAAATTCCCCCCCCAGCGGACTTTGACTCTCTCTACCTTTTCCCGTATGGCCATCGGCGTGCCGTCGACTAAGCGTGCGTCTATCTCCGGTAAGCAACGGCTAAGTGTCAGCTGCAGTTTTCGTGCGGTTGCTTGCTCCTCCGTCGATAAAAATCTTCACTGCTGCTCCCTGTATTTTCCCGTGGATCAGTACAGGGCAATCCGTCGCTGTACCCTCCTTATTCATCCGAGCCCGATCGATGGCGTGAATCGGTACTGTGACTCGGTGAGGGTCGGTGTGGTTGGGCGAGCAGGCAGTCTCGTCAGTAGTTGGCCCGATTCCTACTGACTGCTGGCGTTTCCCTGCCTTGGAGACTCCCTCCCCTGCTCTGCTCTGCGGCGCCTTAGCTCCTCTGGGCATTCGCTCTTGCGATGGCCCGGCATGTTGCAAGCAAAGCAGCGCCCCTTAAACGGCGCGGCAGCTGCATTCGTCGCAACAGCATGTACAGTGGCGTGCTCGATCGGTCCCCGAGGACGATGTCCATAGTAGAACCCCGGTCTCGGACGGCGTAAAATGTCGATTTTCTCGGCGAGCGCGAGAATCTCGTTGAAGTTCGAGAGCCCGCGTAGCATGATTTCGTGCGAGATGTCCGGCTTCAGCCCTCCGACGTAACGGTCCACCCGCTCCGCTTCGTGCATGTAGCCGACTTGCTCGCATAATGCGAGAAAACCACTCGTATAGTCTTGGACCGATCCGAGCTGCCGCCAAGTGCGCAATCTCTGACGCGCTGAAATAGAAGCCGCGATCGGCTCGAAGCGCGCCCGAAGCCCTCCGCACCACGCATCCCACGTGCTGTATTGGGCGGTCTCGCAGAATGAACTCTAGGTGACAGCTGGACCCGTGGGCCCTTCCTCTTGCGACGGTGGCTCGTAGGCGCGTGGCGATGTCACGATGACTCGCCACCAGTCCATGGCGGGGCCCCTTAACAGCGAAACGGCATACCGAATCTTCGCTGCGTCCGACTCGACGTAATTCGCGTCGAAGAAGACGTTCATCGTGAAGACCCACGATTGAACCGTCGGACCTCCACGCTGGCTCGGGTCGAAACAGGGCGGGCGTTGCGGCTTGAGTGGCATTGGTGCCATGATGGCCTGTTCGCCACTTGTCGCCGCGAACTCCACGTGCCGACGGGCTTCGCGAGGCTCCCGCGGGCTTGGCGCGCCCCTGTTTCCTCCCATGCCAGGCATTGGTTGGGCGGCGCTATCACTGGCTGCGCCCGAGCGCTGTCCCACGCTGTCGTGTTGCGTTGGTGTACCAGACGAGATGACGATTGGCTCGTCCGATTGTGCAGGTGCATTTGTTGGTGCGTGTGGCGCTGCTGGAGTGTTCACCGTTGATTGCTGACGCGCGGAGTCACGTTCCGCTGTGAGTGTCGCAATTTCGAGCGCCGAATCTTCGAGTTGGCGTACCAGACGGTCGAGCTGCTCCTGCGTCAATGTGGCGAGCGTGATTTCGGCCATGGCGGGGGTGTCGGGCGAGCTCAGCGAGAGCCTCAGTCGTGGCCGTGCGTGCTTACGAGAGAGCACTACGAGCGGCGGTGCTGTGTCGCTGAGAGACGTCTACCCCCCCAAAAAATTGAGATAGTGGGGAAGCGAAGGTGTGGGTGCGGTCCGAGAAGAGATCGTAGGCTCTGAATACCAAGTGTTACGAGTGCAATTGAGTGAATGAACGAGAATTGCACTATCGAAGCAAGCGTACAATGAGCGAAGGCATGAGCGAAGAATATATAGCGAAACTACAGTGGTAACGGTAATGGACTGTGGTTGTCGCGCGACGGGCCTGGGACTGAGGTTGGGAAAAAGTGTCGAAGCGGAGGCCCGGAGCGCGGGTTACCCGCCGAGCCGTGAGGTCGGGGTGCGACGTGCGAAGGTGGCGGGCGGATTGTCGATGCGAGGATTGCGAGTGGTAACGGTGCTGACTGTGGTGCTACAGTGATGTACGCGTTGAGCAGGGATGCGAAGTAAGGAAAAGGGATTTTCCTTACATTGTGTAACAAGTACCGGTAGTTGTGGAGCAGTGTTTGCATTACAAGTGATGGGTGGGGAGGGCGGTGTGCAGGAAGGGAGGTACGGTAGTACAACAGCCAGGGCCTTCACTTGTATGATGAGTCCATATAGTCACAGCTCCATTGTTCATCATGTACACCTCACCCTCTCATAACTCAAAGCACCAACAACCAAATTAAGAGCACCTAAGTGCTCTTTGATTATTACAATTTACAGGCCATCAGCTACCTAAAACTCACAAATTTAATATCAAAATCTAACTGTAAAGCCCAGCAAAGAGCATACGGGACATCGGAGCAAGCAGCACATAGCGCCAACGGGGTCCATCCTAACTAGATGGTACGGGTGTTGTACGAGCCGCAGGCAGAGCATTTGTGGTAGAGCCAATGGAAAGGTGCGTTTTCCTTGGCCTCGCAGTCGTTGCAGAGAATGGCCTGAGGGAACACAGAGGAATACGGAGGAGCGGGGGCAGGAATAACACTTCGATTACCATATGCCGAGATTTGCTGTTCTGATGCCAGATGCTCCAAGCTGTGCCACTAGCATTGATGGTGCCCATTAGCGTGTCCATTCAGTGAGGGATCACACAAGACAGGAAAGCAAGACGAACAAGACGGTTGAGTTCAGATGATCTGGCCAGTCAACAAAGAGCATGTCGGCCCACCTGTTGCCGGTTGCGGTACTCCTCTGGAAGCTGCTCTGCTGCTAGTAGAGCATCCAACATTCCAAAGTACACCTGGTGAACGCAGCAGAGGGGGGAGGAAGAGACAGAGTGACAAGGTGCCAAGTCAGCAGCACGTAGCGGCGATTGTGGGTGCAGGGACAAACGTGTGCGGATAAATCAACGTAGACATAACTGTACGCTCAAATGCTTTCAGTTACTGCTTCACAGCCTCATCGCAACAGAAGAAACACAACCAAAACAGATACACTACATGTGCTTCCATGCTCAGTCCTACGAGCAACAGTTCCAAAAATGGGTCCCAGGTGGCTGCTCTACCCGTTGAAAGTATGCCGTGTGCATAAATTGCCTTCAGAGCACGGTGAAAATTTTTGTTGGATTTTCAGAATACAACAGATTTTTCCGGACCGAGATTTTTGCTGCCTGAAAATCTCCACATTGCTTCCAAGGCACCTGAAAAACACACAACAGGGATCCAGTTTACATACCCGCATGTCCCGCATGGACTTGGAGCAGTCAGGGCAGGTAGTCCTCACACGTGTACCTGGAAACACGCTGAGTGCATTGCATGCCTACCTTTGAAGTGCCTCAGCAAGCAAAACAGGAACCTGATGGGCGTACCCGCATGTTCCCAACGGATTTGTGCAGATGGGGCAGGGCAGGTGTAGAGCTCGCACGTGTATGCCTCGAAGCACACAGAGCGCAAGAAACTGGCTACACAGAGAGACCGACGTACTCGCATGTCTCCGACGGATTTGCAGCAGATGGGGCAGGTGTAGTGCTCGCAAGTATATGCCTGGAAGCATGCCGAGTGCATGAAGTGGCCGCAGGGGAGCGCCTTGACGGGCGCGGAGGAGGTGAAGAGGAAGTCGTGGCAGATGGGGCAGTTGGACTCGAGGCCCTTCTCCCGGCACGTGTGCTGCGCCAGTGTCACGGACATGCACGCGTTGCACGTCATGCAGTGGAAGTAGTCGATTCCCAGGCCCCGCCCCACCCGGCACAGGTTGCAGAACGGGCAGTGGTAGATGTCCCTGGGGGTGGGGGGTGGGGGTGGTGGTGGAGGTGGGGATGGGGATGAGTGGGGATGCACATGTGAGTTGATGCACAGAAGCTGAGCATCATTCCGGTTGCTTCAGGCACACTGGTCGGACTACCTACGTCGAGCTGAAAGGAGACAACTGCATGGTGTGGAAGGGACAAGGGAAGGAACAGGCAGGCATGGAATCGATTGACGCCACGACTGCTGGAGTTAGACGACTTTGCAGCCCAGGTCATCCCAACCTATTGTCCTCATGCTCCCAGGTCTCATCTGGCGTCATCCAAGAGCTTGCAGATGCTCCAGTAGTGTTTGGCCCGGTGCAGGAGGGCGTGTTTGGAAGCGCCACAAAACCGCGAGACATGAGACGACTTTTGAAGCGCCTCAAAACTCACCTGGCGTCGTCAAAGAGCTTGCAGATGCTGCAGTAGTGTTTGGCCATGGAGTAGCCGTTGCAGGAGGGCGTGGCACAGTGCTGCCCCACTGGCTGCACCTTGAGACACTTCATGCACATCATCTCCCGCACCGCATGCCTGGCGGATTGGGGGAGGGAGGGGAATGGGAGGGTCAGGCATGTTAGGTGGGCGCCAAGGGACCTTGCTTGAACCCCCACTGGCTGCACCTTGAGACACTTTGTGCACATCATCTCCCGCACCGCATGCCTGACGGGTAAGCGCAGAGTCGAAGCGGAAGGGGGAGGGCAAAGCAGGATCGAGGTTGAACGCGCATGAACAGATAAAAGCCCAAGAGAAAGGCCCATATTTGATCATAGTGTTGATCGATCTAGTTCTGAAGTATTAACTGTAAACTAGTTCACACTCTTGTACCTGTCCAAGAATGGATGGCACACTTGCTTTGACATGTTTCTTTCCTACCTATCCAAAGTGTGGGCAGCGAGCTGGTCTTGTTCTATTCTATACCCATATCTCCACAGCGTGGGCGGGGAGCTTGTCCTGAACTTTACCCACTTATCCACAACATGGGTGGCGAGCTTTGTCCTGTTCTGTACGCACCTGTCCATGGCATGGTCGGCAACCTTGTCGTGGCAGAAGCGGCAGGAGACGAGCTTGCCGCAGCAGACGGCGCGCACTTTGCAGTTGCGGCGGTAGTGCTGGCAGCCGTAGATGCCCCTCTCCTCGTCGTGGTACGACGCACACAGCACCTCCTCCTCGGGTGCGTCGCGAGAGGATTTGTGCTGCTGCTGCTGTGCCACGATCCACCGGCTGCACAGGCATACACAGCAGAATCTACCATGAAAATGGGGAAGACACACACATTCTTGGCTGATGATGCATCACGCAGTGGGGACTGATTGCGGGGAGATACATGCCACAGACAGGTGTCCGGGTATGGAAGGCATGGGTAATCGAATCCTGAATAGGCAAGGTACTCAAGTTACTCCCTTCACTTCCCAGTCAGTTAGAGTCATCCCAGCCCAAACACCATGCCGCGCAGCGCAAGTCGCAGGCAGCAGCAGCACGGCACAGACTGGCGGACAGACCTGGTCATGAGATTCTGCATGAGGTACGCCTTCCTCCTGAAGTCCAGTGAGGCGTTTTTTTTTTTTCTAGTCAGCTCAAAATTTGCAGAAAATAGGCGAGACAGAGTTTACGGACCTGGTCATGAGGTTCTGCATGAGGTACGCCTTCCTCCTGGGGTCCAGCGAGGAGTCGCTGGAGACGCGGCGGATGGCGGCCTCCAGCTCCTTCTGGTTCATGCGGAATATGTTGTGCCACCCTGGTCGAAACGTCCTCTTGTCCTTCTCCACCTCCTTTCCCTGTGAAGCACTCCCACTACCCCCACTCCCACCACCTCCCCCACTCTCTCCAACTCCCCCTCCTCCACTTCCACTACCACCTTCCGCTCCCACTGCCTCATTTCCGCTGCGCACATCACCACATTCTCCTGCCACAGAACACCCCTCTCCACCCGTACCCTCCCTGTCAGATGCCGTCCCTTCCGCATGCCCATGTCCACACCCACCACCATCACAACCAGCAGCAGCACCACCAGCACCACAAACAGCACCAGTATCCGCGGCACCATCCGCACAGGAGGCGTCAACACGCGTGGCTGCTACTGCACCCCCCTGCTCTGCTGCCTCTGCCCCTGCTGCTTGCTGCCGTGACCCATCACTCTCTAAATACTCAGCCACCATCTGTAGCGCGTCAGAGGAGAGGCTATCAGCCAGATCGTCCCTAGCGTGGCCTTGGTGCCCGGGGGAGGGTGGCAGGGGGTTGGACGTTCCAGCAGGGGACTTCCACCAGGCGCTCAGCCATTGGTCGAACATGGTGTTGCGGGATGCCTTGCGCCACGTGTCCACCATTCCTGCCTGTTCCTCGTCTGAGATGGCTGCTGTGATCCACGTCAGCATGGCCTGAGAAGGAAAAGGAAACATGGATAAGTGCATGCATTCATTACTATGCTAAATCTCCCTTCCTCCTGTCTCCCCTTGCCACACACACACACCCCCACCACGCCCCACAACGCTCATCACACCCCATAACGCCCCCTCACGCCCCAACAAGCCCCGCCCCGTGCCCTGCCCCGTCACGCCCCACCCCTCAAGCCCCATCAGCTCCATAGAGCCCCACGCAGTCCCCGAGAGGCCCCACGGCGCCCCACGAGGCCGTATCGCCATACCTGCAGCACCTCCGCGCCCGTGGTGCCAATGATGCGCCCCACAATCGCGTCCTGCTCCTCCATGCTGAAATGAATTCCAAACAGTGGCCACAGCTCCAGCTCCTCGCGGGAGATGTGCTGGTCCAGGCACAGCCGCACCGACAGACTCATCCGATGCACCCGCTCCGCCAGCTCCCTCCTCCTCTCCTCCAGCTCCTTCACCTGCTTCCTCGCCTCCTCCCGCTCCTCCTCCCCTCCGCTCTCCTCGGCTTTCGCAGCCACACCCTTGGCTTTATTTATCGCCGAAATGACCCCTGAGAGCTGGTTTAATACGCCTGCGATCGCGTCGAAAAGCTCCTCCTCCTGCTTGTGATCAATTGTGTACGAGTGGCTCACGTTGTGCAGCGCCTCCTTCGCCTCCAGCGCCGGAAACACAATCTCGTCCTCAGCGTTGCTGTGCGCGCGGTACAGCCCCCACAGGAAATGAAACCGGCCACTGAAATCCCGGGCGGCGTCATCGTCACACGTGGCAAGCCGCGCTGACTCAGCAGAAAGATACTCCAGGTCCTTCCTAAGCGCCTGATGGAAGTGGAAAATCGCGTCAATAGGCCGCTGGCTTGACGAGCTACCCCTGTCGTTAGAGAAAATACCAGGACCCAGCACCCCCCCTGTAAGGAACCCCCCTCTTGAAGCGGATGAGCGAGTGAGAGCGCGGCCTGCTGCGCTGGAGAAGCTGAGCGCTTTGGAACCGAGAGACCCAGGCTCGGGAGCAGACAGCTGCATAGGAGGTGGAGGCTCGGGTTTGATTAGGATTGCTGGCAGGCTCTGGAAAGAGCCGCTGAGGAGTCGTGCTCGCTTGGAGGGAGGGGTGGAGACGTTGTCCTTGGGGCTGGCGGCTGTGCGCTGGGATCCCACTTCCAGTGGGGCTGCATCCGCGGATGCATTCGAGTGTATTGAGTGGTCTCCTGATTTTGCTGTTGTGAATGGTCTTGGAATGTCGAAAACGCTGGAATCTAGGGCTTGGGATGGTGTGGTGGTGTCGTCAGATTGGGGTGGGTGCTTACTGGCCCAGGATGTGAACAGGGAGACCAGAGGAACATCCATCTCAGGAGCTGCAGAGCAAGTAGAAACAAGAAAAAACAGGGGAAGAAAGAAGAATGCGTGTTTTTGTATATTAGCCTTCTACCATGGGATTCAATGCCTAATGCATCCGCAGGCAGACTCCTACTCCACCTTACAAAGCTTACCCGCAAGCTTCATGTTCTCGACGATTTCTGTGGCCTCCTCCTTTGTGACGAATGTCATGACCCACGGGAGCACACGCTCTAGCAACCGCAGGGGCATGACCAGTAGGCACCGGTAGACAAGCTGCCGCTGCTCATCCATACTGCAGTGTTGCCGCAGCAAAGGGAAAACCTGCACAGAATATATGGAAAACAACAAAACAAATCAGAAGAAACATCAAACGCCGGAACAATAAAAATTATTGCATGTAATTGGTTGTTCTGATACAAGAAAAGGGAAGGCATTTGCAAGCTCACATCATCCTCTTCTGCTTGCAAGTGCTGGTCCAGTGACTCCACAATGGTCAGTGCTTGTTTCTTCAGCTCTGAAAGCAGCGGCTCTGCAGCGCTGGGACTGTGCTCCATCACATGCCGAACCTCGTCCAGGAGATGCCCTACTGCAGCAAAGAGCTTCTCTTCGTTTGCATGGGCCTGTACATAGCGTGTCGGAAGGTCTACATGCTGTGAAAGAGCAGGGAACACCACCTGGTCCTCTGCTGTGCTGCAGAGATAAACATAGTGAAAGATAACACCGTGACCCAAGAGGACCACTTCAGACAGTCATAAATGACCTGATGGTGGAAATGAGAATGGTAAGGCAACGAAATCCAGATGTGGAAGAGAATGCGTGCAGATTCTTACCTGTGAAAAACGCAAATATCTGAGAGAAACCGGTATCTTCTAATGAGACTGTCGAAGGTGTCAAGCTCCAGGCCTTTCACTTCTCTGTGAAAAGCTTCCAGTTCCTTTCTGATTGCGTTGTGCCAGTACAGCAACTCGTCAATGGGATGCCTGTTTTTGACAGAGGAAGACTTCTGAGGTGTGGTTTTTGAATGAGGTATTCTAGTCCCTGAAAGCTTGGGCTTCACCAATCCTGTCCATCTCTCGTGAATCTTCGGAAACACGCCATGCATTCGGCTCATCCAGCCAGAAACCACCTGAAAGGAAGGAAACAACACGAGGAGGACAGCTCAAAATGACACATTGCTGGCGGAAACGACGGCTTGTATGCTGAATTCGACACCCACTAACCTCTTGCAAGAGTTCCTCTTGTGGGACAATCTTATGCATGTGCTCCACCATTTGCTCCTGCTCCTTTTCCGTAAGATAGGAAGCCATCCAAGGAAGGCAATCCTCCATGAGCTTTATCGGCATGCTGCACAGAAACTGCCAGACTAGATTCGCCTGCTCCACCGCGTTAAAATGCTCTACTAGCAGCGGAAACACCTGAATGACAAACAAGTGGCCGTTACCAATATGAGCTGTCTGCGAAAGAGGTGGCACAAAAACTAGAGTGACAAGACGACAAATGGAAGAACGGAGACATTACTACGACACCGACTAACCTGCTCTTCTTCTTTCGACAAATGCTGCACGAGCACTGTAAGCAAGGCCTCTGTGCAGCAGATAAGCTGGCTGAATAGACTGCGTTCCGTGGTCTCGTCGCGTCTTAAGTTGGATACGAGGTCGGAGAGCTGGTCGAAAAGGTCGCTCTCCACTTTATGCTCGAGCGTGTACGCGTGAGCGACGTTCTTAACCCGGGAATCGAGCGCCGGGAATACCACCTGAGGCAGAAATTCGAACGTGTCAGAAAGCTGACGGAAACTCTCAAAGCCTACTTGATAACGCGTCAGTATAGCAGTCTAAAGTGCAGCGTACCTCGTCTTCCGCCGTGCTATGGTACTTATAAACCATTCTAAGGAATTCATAGCGTTCCAGCAGCAGCTGCGTGTCCTTCTTTCCGCCGCGTTCTAAGGCCAACGCTGTGGTGTGCAGCTTGTCCAACTCAGCCTTAATCGCCTTGTGAAAGAACAAAAGGTGGGAGATGGGAGAAGACGCCAGCGTACGGACTAACGGCAGCGACGGCACGAGACCGCCAGGAACATTCTCCACCTGGACGGGACCGACAGACGCCATCAGCGAACGCAAAACGACCTCCCACTCCACTATTTCTACAAAGCAGCTTCACTCTCAAGGCACCTCACACAAGGCTCTTGAAAGGAAGCAGCGACAAAGGAAACCACACTGACCCTACCGTACCGTACCCTCTCGCCCTGCAGGTTTGTGGATGTGGAGCAAAAAGCAAGGCCACATGGTGACCACATGTGTGTGTGAGTGAAGGTCGGCCAAGCTTTGCCTTCAGCCAACCCCAAACTGCCCTTTCCACCCAGCCAGCCTTACGGTTCCTCTTGTTCTCGTGGTTAGCACGCCCGTAGGGTTTGGCTGCACAGGGCAGCAGTTTCAAGCACGAACACTCGGGGTGGCCCTCTCTATTTGCACACTCGTTTCAGGCAACGGATCTGGCGTACATCCCCAGGCATGGGCAGGGCTTGCGTGGCAACGCTGTGACGTGTGAGCGGTTGCCCTGCTTCGCAGTGAAGATTGCAGCGTGGTGTTGCCGTGCCGAGCCGAGTGCTGAGGCACCACTTCGTGGTGCGTTTTGGGTTCGGTCACAACAATGAGCAATGCAAATGGAAAATCTGGAAAAGATGTGCGTGTAACGATATCGGGGTTCTCTGTTGGGATGTTTCCCTCCAACATTTGAACCAACCTTCTGCTGTCGGACTTCCAATCCATCTCCTCCACCCAACCCAAACCTTCCACATTTCAACCCCTCGTCCAGCACAAGTTCCACTGCATATGCAGTTCCCCCGTGCGAAATTGACAGATTCACGACAAGATCACTGTCTCGCTGTCATTCCAGGCACAACACCATCTTCTTGCAGGTCATGTCGAGAAGTCCAAAAATCAGCGTTTATGATTATACTTCTCGAGTACCTCCAGGTGTGTGTTTTGACATTACCAGACCATCATGTGTTTAATGTCGTGTTGACGACTATTCTTCTGCAGTGACCGAGTTGCTCCAACCACTTGTGGAGGAGCATTGTCCCTCCCTATCTTACGTCTTCGGTAACCATAATGGCTTGTTTGAAGCTTTCAACAAAAGTTCCCCTCAGCAGTCGCTTGCTCGTTTTTCCGCACCGTCGTCCGACCTCCGGCCACCTTTTAGATCGGTTTATCAGAATGGACTTCTTAACCAGGGTCTATCTGGCACGAATAAACACCAGATGAAGTCGCCTAGCATCTTAAGCCGCCAGCCTAGCGCTCCTTCACCGAGCCAGGGCATGACCAAGGCAGAACCAGGTTCTTCTGCAACACGCCCGCCGCGTAACAGTACTGCCGTCAACAGAAGTAGCATATACAGCGAGCGGGAATACGAGATCGCGAAGAACCTTGGAAGGCATTTGCTTTCCCGACCTTCTGTTCGAGATTCTGGATTAAATCGGAATTCGGTTAGCAGCATTGATGGAAACCGCTCGCGGCAGTCCACTGCCAGTCATGCATCTGTGACGGTGTCAGATTTGGAATTGCTGCTACAAGAGGGAAGCGATGAATCTGGAAGAGACAGCACCTCCGAATGCTAGAAGAGTCAAGACAATGACTGTGTTCGCTTTGTTGCTCTCTGATTATATTGGGCCAATCTGGTGGATAAACGGATAGAGCAGAGCTACCTCACATGACAGACATGTGGCCACAATGAATGTAAATCCTGATTGTGGCTTTTGGCTAGGGGTGATTGGCTTGCATGTCACAACAAATACCATGAGTTTTAATCAACAGTGTGAGGAATCACACCAGTTGTCAGCTTTCATCAACACTTCCAACACTCTCAATTTGTCATCGAAGCATTAAGTGCAGCATTCTTTGCTCGTTAATACTTGGTCAAATCCTTGATCCCCAAGCCATGCGCGACGGCAGTCAAGTCATAACTAGTCTTCTTCGCAGGCGCTTCCTCTATAAACACACTCACAGCCCCCTTACACTCCTGCTCAACCACCCCCTTTAAAGTCACAGCTTCATGCATGCCTCTACTACCGCTCACAAGCCCACTGCTGGGGCTGCCAGGTGTGGCCTCAGGGGGAGGAGGGGAGGGGTGCAGTACAAGCGAGGAGAGCAAGGGACACATGCGGAGGATTCGTCGGAGCTCAGCAGGTGAGGGGAGGTTGTAGGAAAAGGAAAAGGAGGAGAGGGCTGGGAATAGGACCGCATCGCCGTCTGCTGTTGTTTTGGCTCGCTCGAAAATGCCTCTGTGTGGCATCAAGGGGTTGGGATGGGGTTGGGGGGGAGTGTGTGAGAAAAGGAACTGAGCTTGAAAAAGGATGTGCATTATAGCAGGATGGGCTGTATGAGATGTGATGAGATGGGACACAATGAAATGATGACTTATGACATGGCACGGGCACACAATGTGTGACACCATGACATGACACTCACACACCACGACACCGTGACATGACATGCACGAGGACATAAAAACGCCATCATTGGACATGACTTGGAAAAAAAACGGATGTAGCAATCTTGGCCACAGATGTGTAGTGCAACACATTGCAATCCCTAGTGTGCCTCACCTGTGGTAGCCATGCAGGGACAGAGATTGCAGGTGGGCGCAGGAGGCGAGGGCAAAGACGCCGTTCTCCGTGATGTGGTTGCCGTTGATGGCCAGGGACTGCAGGTGCGGCCACTTGCGGTTCACCTGATGGGGTAATTTGGTGGATGGTGGGTGGGGTGGCAGATGCATTCTGAAAGCTCTCATAAACACTGCAGGTGGGCGCAGGAGGCAAGGGCGAAGGCGCCATTCTCTGTGATGTGGTTGCTGTAGATGGCCAAAGACTGCACGTGCGACCACTTGCGGTTCACCTGATAAGGCCATGTCATGCATGGTGAATGGAGCAGATGGCATGGATGGTGGTGGCATCACATCACAAGACATGTCATGTCATACATGCGCTGACAGTGAAGTGGACCCCCACATACCAATAGCCACCCACACCACGCACCTGTCTCACCAATCCACACCCACACCCCTCTTACAACCCTACCTGGCCCCTCGCCCACCTGCCACAGCAAATTGTCTCCCAGGCTGTGGATGGGAATGGCGGAGCGCACGTAGCAATGGAAGGTGTGCACGTGGGTGCAGGCTCGCAAGAAGGCGGCCACCTGGGGCGGTAGCGAGCAGGGAAGGCGGAAAAAAGGGGGCCATGCGTGGGTGAGGTGAGGGGAGCATAGGAGCGCACGTAGCAATGGAAGGTGTGCACGTGTGGGCAAGCCCGTAAGAAGGCTGCCACCTGAGGGGCCATGATTGGAGGATGCGGAGAGAAAGGGGGAAAAAGGTTGGGAGATTTGATGGAAGAGGGGCATTGATGGAAGCTGTGGTGTGGACCTGGGGGCAGGCAGGCGTGTAAGTAGGTGGGTTATTGATCAGGGGACAGGAGAGCTGGAATGGGAGGGTGGTTGATTCAACTTCTAAGGGGACGGGGATTTATTCAACTCTTAGGGTTGATTCTACTTAGGATTGATTCCGGAAGTAAGCCCTTACCAGGATAATAACTCATCAATCTTCGCTGTAGTTACCTTCACTGCAGTCATCAGCACGCACATAAGCACATTCCTTATTATCACACCCCAAAAGACTCACAGCAGTCTCAGTGACGAGGTAGTCAGCAGCAACCAACGTGAACTCCTCCAGAGCGGGGCACAGCCGCCCCACCGCCCCCAGCAGCCGGTCCGTGAACGGCACCTGGTTCGGTGTGGTGTAAGGGGGTGCAGTCAGGTGAAGTGAAGGGTGCCGGACAGTCAGTGACAGACTGTAGGAGCATAGCTAGGCCAGCGCCTTTAACTGCCAGACTGTGTGGGACAAGTGGAGAGGAGAGAAAAGTCAGCGCCTTTTTCCATAGCTGTGCGGGATCGTCCATTCTTGACGGCACTTACAGATGAATCCATCCATCCACGCAGGCAGGCATGAGAGTCTACTTATGAGGTGCGATGAAACAAGCGGGGTCATCAATTGGTGGGCTGTGTGGGGCAAGAGGCGGCGAGAACCCGCAGGCGAGATAAGAGCACCTCGTGTGGAGAGGAGAGCTCTGGCTGCTGTGTGGAGACGCCTGAACGCCAGGCCAAGGCTGCTGTTGACGGCAGGCAGGCACGGCCATTGCACCTTGCTTACTGCACCTTTCCCACCACCCATCCTTCCGTTGCGCGCTCCTGCCCCAGCAACCACCTGCCCAGCAACCACCTGCCCAGCAACCACCTGCCCAGCAACCACCTGCCCCTGCACGCACCTGCCACTCGAATTGAAAGCTCAGGCGCTTGAGCCCTCCCTTGGTGCCCTCAAGCAGCAGCTGCCTGGTGTCCCAGCGCCCACCTTCCCCAGCGTTTCTCCAGCGCCCACCTTCCCCAGCACTTCCCCGGCACCCACCTTCCCCAGCATTTCCCCAGCACCCACCTTCCCCAGCACCCACCTTCCCCAGCACCCACCAGCCGCAGCACGCACCTGCCACTCGAACTGGAGGCTGAGGCGCTTGAGCCCGCCCTTGGTGCCCTCCAGCAGCAGCTCCAGCCCGTGGTGCAGCCAGGGGTTGGGTCGCTCCTGGGGGGTGGGAGGGGTGATGGGGAGGAAACGGCGCGGAATGAGAGGCGGAGGGTGGGAAGGCGGTAGGCCATGCGTGAGGGCCCTCCTGCAGCAGCTCCAGCCGTGGTGCAGCCAGGGGTTGGGTCGCTCCTGAGGGGGGAAAGGGGTGATGGGGAGGAAATGGGGAAGGGAGAGCTGGAGGAGCAACAGGCAGCAGCAGCGGCAGAGACCGCAGCAGCTGATGATGATGATGATAATGACACCCACGGCCGAGTATAACAGCTTGCAGATGCATTCATGTACGCGATACAAGACGCACCTCTGCACGCTACTATGATCGATATTCGTTCCTCGATTTACCAGAATGTGCAGATGAGTGATGTTAATCTCCTCGGTTTCTCCGCACCGCGACGCGATCTGCTCCAGTCCCGCGCCGTACAGATTCCCCCCGGCCTCGCCGTCCGCGCGCACGCGGCGCCAGAGCGACGGCGCGCGACACGCGGCGCGCCATTTGCGGCCGAGCGTGGATAAACGGCAAAGATCCAACGGCTCGAGGCGCGCGCGAGTGAGGATGTCTACGAGGATGTTGTGATCCAACGAATCCATGAGCTTATTGCGCTTAGCGCGACAAGAGCTATAGCGCGTACGACATCTGGAGGTTCCGAGCGAGTTGTTCGCTAAGAAAGGCGATCGCGAGCACACAAAAGCCTTCACTTTTAGGCGACTTAAAACGCTCGCAGAGGGAGGAGTAAACGAGGGCAAACCGCAAGGCGAGAGGAGGATGACGGAGCGGAGCAATGAGGAGAGGACCAACAGTACAAGGAGGGATGCTGTCATGCAGCAGGCTTTTAGTGCGGGTGGCAAAGATAGCAATTGAAGTCGCCGATGGTAATGCACAGTACTCCACCACGCTGCACCGCACTGTCGCTCACTGCGTCGTAGCAAATCGATAAATGACCGCGTCGAACTCCGAACATGAAGTTAGGAGCTGTATCGCTGGAGGGTTCGTACGCACTGCTATGCATCTCGATAAACCTCAGTGTGTTGCTGCACAAGAATCAGGGGCAATGAAGCCAACACAAGCCAACTGTTACAGCTGGCATACTAGAATAAACATCAGTATGCCTAATCAAGGTTGGTGCATAATATTCACGTATCTATCTCCAAAGCGAGAATTCAATCTTTCTTGGCTCCATGTCATCGCTCGAGTGCTTTTCATCTCCTCTGTGCTTGTGGCGATGCAACCTTCCCTTTGCCATTGCCGCCGCTCTCATCCTCAGCTCACTCCCACTGCTCCCTCCACCCCATGCCATTCTTGCCATTCTAGCCATTCATGTCATTGCTCTAGACCCATCTCTCACATCTCTCCGATGCTTCTCATCTCCTCCGTGCCTGTGACGATGCCACCTCCCCTTCGCCATTGCCACCACTCTCCTCCTCACTCTCACTGCTCTCCGTGCTCTCCCCAAACGAATACACCGCAGCAGAAGCACCATCAATCACAACCCCACCCGGCACTTCCTGATCCACAAACACTTGGCTATGTGCCGACCCCTTTGGCCTCCATTCCTCACCCTCTGACTCAGACCCACTACTGCTGCTGCCACTGCTGTTACCACTGCTAATGCGGTTACCAGTGCCTCGTGTCACATCGCCAGAGGCGGGTGAAGGGAATGACGGCCGGCGGGGACGTGTGGGAAGGGCTTGTTCAGACGTGGGCGAGCGGGGTACTGGGGAGGTGAGTGAGGAGGGCGAGGAGGGGAGAGAGGAGCGAGAGGAGGAGGAGGGAGGGGAGGAGGAAGGGAGGGCGGTGGCAGAAGGGGGCATGCCGAAGAGCTGCAGTCGCAGCACGTCGTGCAGCTGATCCAGTAGCTGCTTCTTCAATGCATCAAATGCCATCTCCAGCCGTTGCAGCTGCACAGGGAGGGAGCGTGAGGGGAGAGGAGGGATTGGAAGCGGGCATGCCAAAGGGCTGCAATCGCAGCATGTCGTGCAGCTGATCTAGCAGCTGCTTCTTCAATGCATCAAATGCCATCTCCAGCCGTTGCAGCTGCACAAGGGAGGGTGAGGGGGATTTAAGGGAAGAGGAGCGATGGGCATGCCAAAGAGCTGCATTTGCAGCACGTCGTGCAGCTGATCCAGTCACTGCTTCTTCAAAGAGTCAGTTTTTTTAAGAATTCCCAAAGAACAGACTCATTGAAAGCCACCTCCTGACGTTGCAGCTGCACAACGGAGGGAGCATGATGAGGGGGGGGGGCGACAGTGGATGGGAAAGAGAGAGAAGAGGAGAGATGGAAGTGGGAGAAAGGTACATAATTTCTGTCTCCCTGCCAAACTAGTACCGTGTCTTACTCTCTAACATTCGTGTTTGTACATGAAGAGCCCATTGTAGAGGCGCCTTTAGAAAAATATTTGCTCAATACATGTCCACCACACTAGCACCCTACCTCCTCGGTGGCATTGGTGTTGTACATGAAAAGCCCGTAGTAGAGGTCAAAGCTGTCCCCTGCTGTGTTCTATTTATTGTTGAGGCGCCTCAAAAAGAGAACCGTACCTCCTCAGTGGCATTGGTGTTGTACATGAAGAGCCCGTAGTAGAGGTCGAAACTGTCCCCTGCCGTGTCAAAACGGCCTCGCAGAAATGTATGTCTTCTGTCTGCCATAAAGGAACCGTACCTCCTCGGTGGCGTTGGTGTTGTACATGAAAAGCCCGTAGTAAAGGTCGAAGCTGTCCCCTGCCGTGTTCTCCACCTGCAAGTGGTGCGCACATCACGTGAAAGGGCATGCGAGGTGACTTATGAGAAAGTGGCACAAGACTTTTGAGGAGCCTCAAAAGCCACCTGCACGTGGAGTGCAAGTGAAAGGGCACAGCTGGTGGCTTTTGACACGCGGCAGAATCAGCAGACACAAGGCAGGGAGAAGGAGAGCAAAGATGGGGAAAGAGAGCAAGAGAGCGCAAGCTCTAATATGCAGCGTCGAGATTCACATTGCACGATGTGAAGTGGATTGTGCACGTTGGCATGCTGGGCATGAGGCCACGCTGTGACTGCTGCAGGGTGTGAGTGTAAGCATACCATGTTGAGAAATGTCTCGTATCCCTTGGTGTTGATGGGTGTGCCTCCAGGCCTAGCTTGTGAGTCGACTCAAGAGCCAACTCGTTACAATGTCACTTGGTGCTTTTCTACACGCAGGGCTAGTCTTGGATGTGAGTGCATGCATACCAAGTTGAGGAGTGTCTCGTATCCCTTGGTGTTTATGGGTGTGCTTTCCAGGCCTAGCTTGCCCAACACTCTGCATGTAATGGCGGTGTGTCACATGCACGCATGCACCCATACACACGCGCGCGTATTGGCACATGCATTCAAGCATCCATGCATATCAACAAAAGGAAGGGGAAAGGGGGATAACGGGAGGGGGAGAATGTTAGAGTACAATGGTATGAGTTTGACTGTTATTGTTATCCTTAATATTACTATCAGTATCACTGCTATCAATATCATTACCTGTATTACCAAAAAAATCAGTACTATTATTACCATTTTTCGCTTATTGCTATTACAACTATGGAAGCGGGGTCTGACTTCTGAACTGCCAAGTGCTAATAAAGAGCAACAAAAGAAAAGAAAACGGTGTGAGACGTGGGCAATAGAAGGGTTTGGTTTGAAGAGGCAGTGTTTGAAGAGGCAGCATTTCCCAGCACAGGGCAGGCCTCACCTGCCCACAGTGTGGGTGACGAACTGCGTGCCTGCTGCATACTTATCATGCTCCTCACACGTCATCTCCACCATGCGACACCCCTGAGTCATGGAGGCAGGTGCGTGCATGGGCACATGTGGACATGGGAAGATGGGGACATGAGGAGGAGAGAGAAGGGGAGATGGGTGACGAAATGCGTGCGGGCTGCATACTTGTCATGCTCCTCACATGACATCTCCACCATGCGACACCCCTGAGACATGCAGACATGGGGAGATGAGGAGATGACGCGATGGGATGGGATGGGATGGGGTGGGGTGGGATGCGATGGGATGGGATGGGATGGGATGGGATGGGATGGGATGGGATGGGATGGGATGGGATGGGATGGGATGGGATGGGATGGGATGGGATGCGATGGGATGGGATGGGATGGGATGCGATGGGATGAAATGGGATAAGAAACGGGAATTTTGTAAAAATCAGACGCTCTTCCTTCTCCTTCTCCTTCTCCTCCTTCTCCTCCTTCTCGCCCACCATGATGCCTACTCAGTCAAACGCGAGGGCAGTTTTGCGCACTGGCCATGCACTTGCCTCCCTTCCACTCCCTCATCACCACCTCCCCACCTCCTCTACTCCCCCCGTCTCATCACTATTTCGTCCCCCACCTCCCCACCTCCTCTACTCCCCCCATCTCATCACTATTTCGTCCCCCACCTCCCCACCTCCTCTACTCCCCCCGTCTCATCACTATTTCGTCCCCCACCTCCTCACCTCCTCTACTCCCCCCATCTCATCACTATTTCGTCCCCCTCCTCCCCACCTCCTCTACTCCCCCCATCTCATCACTATTTCGTCCCCCACCTCCCCACCTCCTCTACTCCCCCCATCTCATCACTATTTCGTCCCCCAACTCCTCACCTCCCCGTGGAAGATCTGCAGGAAACGGTCGGCCTTCTCCGCCCTCTCCCCTGGGGTGATGCGCACGCGGTCGAACACAAACGACAGCCCCTCCCACGAGCCCTTGCCGCTCTCCGGCCCGAACATGGGGTGCGTGCAGAGGATGTCAAACTCGGGGGGGAGCACCTGGTGACGGGGAGAGGAGAGTGGAGAAGGGAGGACTAGAACGTGTGCACGGGAGGAGATGATGGGAGGAAGAGGGCCCCTTGCTGCTCTCGGGACCGAACATGGGGTGCGTGCAGAGGATGTCAAACTCGGGGGGGAGCACCTGGTAGTTGAGGGAAGACCTTCACAGACAGCACGTCCACAAAGAGCGTGTTCCTCTTGAAACTCAAAATCAGTGCACTGCTGCTGCATTGAATTGCATTGCAATCAGTCAACACACCTGCAGCAGCAGCATCTTGGGGAAGACCTTGACGGACAGCACGTCCACAAAGAGCGTGTTGCGCTTGAGGCGCTGCAGTGGCAGCGAGCGCAGCAGCGAGTCGCTTGAGATGATGGACGTGCACAGCAGGACGACGTCTGGGTGCTCTTCACAGAAATCGTCCATGTCACTGGGGGGGAAGGGAGGGAAAGGAAGGGAGGGGGGGGGCGGCAGCGAGCGCAGCAGCGAGTCGCTGGAGATGATGGACGTGCACAGGAGGACGACATTGGTATGCTCCTCACAGAAATCGTCCATGTCGCTGGAGCACAGGAAAGGGGAGGGCGGGGAGGGAAGGTGGGGGAAGGCAGCAGCGCGCCGCTGGAGGTGATGGACGAGCAGAGGAGCACCACGTCTGGATGCTCCTCGCAGAAATCGTCCATGTCGCTGGGGAGCAAGGAGGGGAGGATAGGGAATAAGAACGCTAGTGGATGATATACCAGCGTTGCGTTGGGGTGAGATTGCAACAGCAGGTAGGTAACCGGTAACCATGGGTTGACGATCGAACTGCAACAGCAGGAGAGTTGACGCGCTCAGGCACTCACGTGTTGAGACGACTCAGAAATAAGAGCACGGCGTGCGGATCAGTCTTTCTATGAGTAACTCAGACACTCACGTGAAGAACCGCACGCCCATTTGCTTGGCGACCTGCGAGTAGTCGGACCGCGACCACGCTGTCAGACGGTGCCCGTGGCGCGCGAAGCGACGCGCCAAGAACTGCCCGAAATTGCCGAACCCCAAAATGCCGATGTTCAGCCTGCCTTTCTCTTCCAGCTGCCGCTTCTGATTGGCGGAGAGACCAGAGGGGAGGAAGACAGGATGACCAAAAAATATTTGGTGGGGGGAGGTTGGGGGAGTGGAGAACGCGATAACGAGACGAGAGGGGGAAAAGAACGGGAGAGAAAAAGGAGCACGGGGCTAAGGGTGAAGAAAGACAACGTCAACAAATAATTCGAGCGTGACTCGTTTAAAAGTTTTTTTTTCTAATGCTCGTTATTGTCACTCGTCAGCGCGTCGGTACATTCACCTGTCGATGCTCGTAATCGAACGGCTGTGCTGCGTCGAGCGCGCGGATCGGCACCACTCCGCCTTTATTCGCATCGCGCCGCGAGCCGCGGCGCGATCTCATTGGCTGGCCTCTGATTGGGTGTGCGACACTAAGCGACGAAAGGCCGCAAATAAACGACGCTGCATTCTCCAGGTGCGAACGTCGCAAATGTCGCGAATGGACCGGCCTTGCAATGCTGAGGTCTCCTATTAGCGCGTTCGACGGCGCACCTACCACACGGAGTGCCATCAGCACAGTTTGATAATGCCTGATCGAACGGGATTCACGGGGCTGTGCCGCGATCCGCCGTGGATTTCAAACGATAGAGCGACAGGAAAAGGAGCTTCTTTTGATTTTCTCCAAAAAAACGTAAGGAATGGGGAAAACCATAGAAGGGCAGAAAGGCAAGGAATGACGCTCAGCGGGAGGAAGGAATGGGGGACACAGACAGCGGCTGGCGTGTTTCACGCTAAAAGCCCTCCACCGCCAAGCTGAACATATGAGTTCGCGATTGCGTTTGATTGAGGTTCTGTGCTTGTCGGAGCGGCTTGTTTACACTTCTATACGTTTGGGTAGGGTTTGAAGCACAAGGGAACCAAATATGACCTGGCGAAGATATGGAACCTGGGGAATGTCGTGGATGGTACGAAATACCTGAAAATACACGACTGCTACTGTGTAACAACCCAGATCGAAAAGGAGGGCGCACGAGAGCTCGATTGCGAAACTCCCTTCTCTTCGCACACAAGCTACGGTTACAGCGTGCGTACGCAACAGATTAGGCGGGGGCTGGCACACTTGCACCTTCGTGAATCTGACTTGCACCGAACCAAACCGTCACGTTCCCCCGCGAGCCTTCCCGCCAGAACCAGTCCCGTCAAAGGTTAGGAGAGCACAAGCCTTCACGAGGACAGCAAGGTTGTTTTAGCACTGTCTAACGCCTCACGCGATTCGGGCTCTTATAACGAGTTATTTGAGAGGCCCGCAACTATCGCCCTCCTTTTCGACGTAACTCCCTGTGGACGGCGGCTTACCCCCATCGATATCATTACTCATGGCGACGACTAGTCGCGTCCTACCGACGCAAAGCGCATCCCCGCTACTGTCGAGATCAACGCTCGGCCGACAACGAGCGACGGCGTCCGTTGCGCCGTCTAATGCGGGCAGCGAGTCGGGCGTGCGACAACGCATTCAGGTGCCGCTGCTTCGCTGTGCAACCTCGCTGTCTGTTATTTCCCGTCTAGAAATATGTGCGGTATTGTGATTGCGTCAGCTCGGTCGCGTCAGAATGATCGCGGTCAGCTTTGTGTCGCCAGCGCACCAAGTCGCGGTATCACTATCGTATTCTGTTGCTAGTATCGCGCCTCGCTGCTAGTATCCCCCTTCGCTGCTTTTCTCTTAAGGCCAGCTCTTCTTTCGTGTCCTCCCTCTCCTCCCCTCTCCCACCTTCCCACCCCCCCTCTCCCCCCTTCACGTTCCCCCCTCTTCCCGTCAGGCTGGCCTTGCGCGGATAAGCGGCGTGCGAATCACCCCCGTGCGGACACCCGCGCGCGGAAGATCAGCGCCATCCGCGGAGGGGGCGCGCAAACGCGGGGGGCTATTGGTGGTGCGCGCCGTGGGGGATCACCAGCTAGCGCCGCTGCCGTACCAGCTGGTACGCGCTCCACCCCGCTAAAACCCTTAACCCGCGCGCCGGCAGAGCGGGTGCTTGTGGTAGATGCGCCGCCGGGTTTCGGGTTTAAGGATGGCGCATGGCAACGCCTTAAACCTGAAACCTCGCTCATCCCCGTCATCGTTTATCATCTCTACTCTTCCCCCGGGAACCCCTCCCCCTTCCCCAACCCAACCCCCTCCTCCCAACCCGTTAAACCCCTGTTTCCTCTCCTTCCACCCTTACCCCCTTCCCTCCTCCGCCCTTCCACTCCTCCCACAGGATGCCTTAGAGCCACACATCTCGCGGTCGGCGCTGGAAGCCCATTGGTCGGGGCACCACGGGCGCCAGCTGGCGGCGCTGAACCGCCAGCTGGACGCTGACCTGGCACTGAAGCGGCTGCCGCTGGAGGAGCTGGTGAAGGTGGCTTATAACGGGGGCAACCCCCTTCCCTGCTTCAACCTTGCTGCTGAGGTGGGAGAAGTGGGGGGGAGGGGGCTTAGCGTAGATGTGCTTATAACGAGGATAAAGATGGTGAAGGTGGCCAACCCCATTCTCTGCTTCAACCTCGCTGCGAGTCGTTGATGTGCTTATAGCGAAGGCTAGTGGAGATCAGAATGGTGTTTACTTACAGAGTGTGAGTGTGTGTGCGCATGCATGCGTTCATGTGTGCATGCGTTCATGTGTGTATGCGTTCATGTGTGCATGCGTTCATGTGTGTATGCGTTCATGTGTGCATGCGTTCATGTGTGCATGCGTTCATGTGTGTATGCGTTCATGTATGCATGCTGTGCTGTGCTGGCATATGTGTGTGTGTGCGTGTGTGTCTGTAAAAGAGGTCTTTTGGGGATCCAGAGAGGGGTGCTGCAGCTGCTTTCCTTATTCCCATCTTCCCCACCCCATTCATACCCACCCTCTGCTACCCCCGCCCACTCTCCCTCTCCCTCCCCCCACGACAGGCATGCAGTGCAACGCAACGCAAGCAAGCATGTGGTGACTCTGCAACGCAAGCATGTGTTTTGCATGGAGGTGGTGAGAGGCAGCCGAGCAGGGAGGTGGGGAACCGGCCAGAGGAAGAGGTCCTGCCATTGCTCCCCCTCCTTCATTCCTCCTCAACTCTCCCTTCTCCTCTCTCCCCTCGCCTACACCACGACAGGCGTGGAATCACGAGTTCTTCTTCTCGGGATTGCAGCCGGCAGACGAGACATCCGGCAGGGAGGGGGGCAACCGGCCAGAGGGGGAGGTGCTGCGGCTGGTGGAGCGCGACTTTGGGTCGGTGGAGGGGTTTCAGAGGGAGTTCAGACAGGCCTGTGCCTTGTCGTTTGGCTCGGGATACGTGTGGCTTTCAGGTAATTTGAGACTGGCGGATATATGTGTACAGTGTACTGCCGGCCAGCCACTGGTGGAGCGGGACTTTGGGTCGGTCGAGGGGTTCCAAAGGGAGTTCCGCCATGCCTGTGCCTTGTCATCCGGCTCGGGATACGTGTGGCGCTCACTTGATTTACCGGAGCTGATTAATTTAAAGTCGACTCAAAAAATTTCTGCGGCCTCCCTCACACGCTATGCTTCTGTTTTCACAACTCCGACCCGTCTTAATCGATTTTTAGACCTCGTTGCTTTTCTTCTCCTGTTCCTCCTCACCCTCCTCCTATTTCTCCTACCCCTGCCCTGCTCTCTTTTCCTCTCCCCTCCTCTTGTTCCTCCTGCCCCTCGTCTGTTTCGCCAGCCAAGGTGGACACGGTTGTTCCAGAGGAGTGGCTTGCAGACATGCGAGGTGAGCTTGAGACGCTACGTGCATGGATGAGAGGATCAGCTATCCTGAGTGGATTTGGTTGTAGGTGTGTTTAAAGGAACGTAAACAAACACACACATACAAGATAAGTGAGCTGTTACGTTCCTGAATTGTAGGAATTGCTGTGCTGGGTGTTCACATGCTTGATAGGACGCGTTCCAATGACGTGTTTTTGTCCGCTGAGGCGTTTAGCCTCACGACGCCACTTTTATTGTAACCTGACGTTTGAACAGCTGTGCAAAATCAGTGGCTGTGTTGAGCAAATCTTAAGGTGCTAAGCCTTCAAAATTTAAGCTATCACAATATGATCAGCCCCATCCCTCCCTTCTTCCCCTATGAGTCGTGTTTTGAGTCGACTCAAAACACGATTTGTATCACAATCTGATCAGCCCCATCCCTCCCTTCTTCCCCTATGTCCTCCCCCTTCCAGTGCCCAACACGTACCGCCTACAGGTCGCTCATCTGCGAGTGGAGAGGACAGTCAATGCCTTCAACCCGCTTGTCTTTGACCGCATCGTGAGTCGCACACTCGCTTCGCACAATTGCTGCTACATGTGGAACGTGAAACTTTCCTGCATGCAGCATCACGCCTGAAGTTTATTCCAGTTGCACTCATGTTATAAGCGATCTCGCCTTTTTCCCCCCCACCCACCGCCGTTGCCCCCTTTTTTTTTTTTGCTCTCACTCTTTCCCCCCATCTCCTGTTCCCTTTGCCCCCTCCCTCCCACCTCTTTCCCTTTATCCTCCTACCTCCCCGTTCGCTATCGCCTGTTCTGTCCACTCCCGCAGCCCTTGGCAGTGCTCGACTTGTGGGAGGTACGGTGCCCTGAATGCCTCTCTTTTTGCTTGCTTGCTTCAGTTTGCTTGCTGCTTCAGTGTGGCTGATTCTTCGGTTGTTGACAGTGGGGTGATACCCAGTGCTGACTGGTGCTTTTTTGGCACCTCTACAGAACGTCTCGTCAGAAGCTGTGACGCTTTCTTCTCACTTTTTTTTTCCCGCATTCTTATCCTCGTTCCGCACTCTCTGTTTGATTACTCCTCCTCGCCCCTCCCCTGTCATCACCATCTCCCCCTTTTTTCCTTGTCTTCTCCCAGCATGCCTACCTCTCAGATTATCCTGACAAAAGGTCAGCTTATGTGGAGGCTTTCTTGCAGCATCTGATGTCATGGGATGCGGTGGCAGCACGAGTGGACCGGGCCAAGTCGCTCACCAACTTCTGGGAAATGCCCGCTCCTCCTGACGCCTTCATCCGGCCAGGCTTCGTTGCTGACCGTCCGATCCCACTCGATGCTCTCAAGAGCATCAAATGATTGCTAGATGTGGCACGTGTTAGTGTCGACTGTTAGGATGTGCTGTCGGATAAATGTCGACGGGATGCTGATTCACAAGAGCATTGCTTGAAGTGTTGTGAATAAAATGAGTAATGTCCTCGCTCGAACGATCCCATAGTTGCTGTATTACCGGGGCGCAGTGTTGATGAGTGCTCAATCTGTATTGGCGTAAAGAATTGGGAAAATATTTTAATGGTAACTTACATGGGGCACTATAACGCGTACGGTAACGATTTCAACACGTTTGGTAACTCCGCTAACGCGTTTGGTAACTCGCTTAATGTAATGAATACGAATTCATTACTG